GTAGAGCGCTTCTGCCTTGATGCCATGTTTGCTGCGTTCTTCTGAACCAAAACGACGCAGCGCGTGTGACGTTATGACACATTTGCAACGAGCGGAACCGATAAGCGGAATCGTTAAGCAGGCATGCTAACGGTTCCAAGGAATTGGTTCAATGGGCACCGGTTCTGAAGAAGAACCGGTTCTCGATTCCTATCCCTAGGTCCTGGTCAAGACAATCTCCTGAACTCCAAACTGAATGTCAAAATGGGAAAGAAAGGTGATTTAAGCAATTTTGAGCGTGGCATGGTTGTTGGTGCCAGACGGGCCGGTCTGAGTATTTCACAATCTGCTCAATTACTGGGATTTTCACGCACAACCATTTCTAGGGTTTACAAAGAATGGTGTGAAAAGGGAAAAACATCCAGTATGCGGCAGTCCTGTGGGCGAAAATGCCTTGTTGATGCTAGAGGTCTTAGGAGAATGGGCCGACTGATTCAAGCCGATAGAAGAGCAACTTTGACTCGTTAACCACTAACGTTACAACCGAGGTATGCAGCAAAGCATTTGTGAAGCCACAACATGCACAACCTTGAGGTGGATGGGCTACAACAGCAGAAGACCCCACCGGGTACCACTCATCTCCACTACAAATAGGAAAAAGAGGCTACAATTTGCAAGAGCTCACCAAAATTGGAAAGTTGAAGACTGGAAAAATGTTGCCTGGTCTGATGAGTCTCGATTTCTGTTGAGACATTCAGATGGTAGAGTCAGAATTTGGCGTAAACAGAATGAGAACATGGATCCATCATGCCTTGTTACCACTGTGCAGGCTGGTGGTGGTGGTGTAATGGTGTGGAGGATGTTTTCTTGGCACACTTTAGGCCCCTTAGTGCCAATTGGGCATCGTTTAAATGCCACGGCCTACCTGAGCATTGTTTCTGACCATGTCCATCCCTTTATGGCCACCATGTACCCATCCTCTGATGGCTACTTCCAGCAGGAATTGGTTTCTTGAACATGACAATGAGTTCACTGTACTAAAATGGCCCCCACAGTCATCAGATCTCAACCCAATAGAGCATCTTTGGGATGTGGTGGAACGGGAGCTTCGTGCCCTGGATGTGCATCCCACAAATCTCCATCAACTGCAAGATGCTGTCCTATCAATATGGGCCAACATTTCTAAAGAATGCTTTCAGCACCTTGTTGAATCAATGCCACGTATAATTAAGGCAGTTCTGAAGGCGAAAAGGGGTCAAACACAGTATTAGTATGGTGTTCCTAATAATCCTTTAGGTGAGTGTATATGTGCTGTTTTGCTTGCTTTATTTCATTGTATGTAATTTGTACATGTTTGTACTTATATTTTTGATACCTTGGCATGCCATTAATACATTTTTTTTTTAAATAAATAAAAACAGGTGAATCAGATGATGGTGACGAGACAATGACAAACAGCTGTGATGGGTGATCAGGTGATGGCCGATAGTGTGCAGGGGGAAAACATGAGGGATGCTGGGAAGTGCAGTGCCGTAGAGGTGACAGAGCTGGTGACCGTGACACTAATATCACTGACTCGGAAACCTTTATTTGAAAAACAACTTATTACATTTGGTCTGAAGCAATAGTTTACAGTTTAAAAAGTTTAAAATATTGTAATTTTTCTTACAAACACCTATCGTTTCCTTCAGAAGCTATTGATCCATCCATTAGGGTCGTATGGATTACTGCAGTTATTGCAGTATGTGCTGTTTGATGCTCCAACTTGTACGAACACATGAGCTTGCATTATATGTATTCCCAGAGATGTATTTTTTATTTTTCTCAAAAAATTCATTTGTGTTAATCTGAAGAAGGAAAGTCGTATACATCTTGGATGGCATGAGGGTAAAAGATGAGTAAATATTGAGGACGTATTTCAATCCTTCCAGTTTGCAGCCGCCAATGACTGGAATGAACTACAAAAAAAAACCTAAAACTTGAAACACTCATATCACCAGTTGCCTTTAAATTACTCCTTTCTGAACAACTGTCCGATGTACCTGCTAACTGTTTTCAACTTCTCTCCCTTATGCTATGCCCGCATTGCATAGTGGACCTCTTTCACCTGCACTACTGTCATGCTGACTTTTTTGTATTACTCTTGTTGCTCAGATATTTCTCTAATGTTCTTTCCCATAATCGCGGTCATATAATCCATGCACTCAAATGATCTACCTGCGAGACACACTTTAATCCTTGTATATCCAGTAAAATGTTTGTTTTTTGTACTTTATATTTTAAAATATTTTAAAATATATTCGCTAGTGCCTTAGCTATGCTGCTCAACAGAATCCACATATACCTTATCCTGTTCTCTTGACCCTGTATTGCCTTATTGTGTTTCACTGTAATTTGTAATTTGCACTCCTGTGTTCTGTGTACTTATTATGTAACTCTATGTTGTCTTGCACATTTGTTCGCCTTATCTTGGCCAGGTCACCGTTGTAAATGAGAATTTGTTCTCAATCGGCCTACCTGGTAAAATAAAGGTAAAATAAAAAAATAAAATAAAAATTTCTAGGTGTACTGCATTTTCTTTTAATATATAATACAGAATAGCAAGAGACATGATTTCTTCTTCAGATTCATCAGTGGAAAGACAGAAAAGGAAGAGGAACAAAAGGAAGAAGCCAAGCAAGAGAAAATTTAAAGAATTAATTGATTTAAAAAAAGCAGTTTAAAACGAAAAGTGTTGTAAATTTGTTTTGAATTAAGTTGTTTTTCAAATAAAGGTTTCGGAGTCGTGATATTAGATTGTTTGTATGTATTTTTATTCTACTTACCCTGTAATACATGGAACAAGGGGGTAACAAGCACCACTACATGAAACAAGAGTATCTTTCCCCAATATTTAAGCAAAGGTGGCAATTGTTTTAGTTGTCAGTGCACTTTTGTTAAAAAAGATTACTGTATAAATGCATAGATATGTATGTAATTTTTAAAAAGCCTATATAGTATGTATTGGTACACCATTATTACAAAAAGGTACATTCTTGCATGTTCTTCCTATATTGCTCCCAAATCATAATAGTAGAATAAGTACCCCTTAGTTCTATAATACTTACAGTATAAATATATATATATATTAAGTCTCCTGATTGTTACCCCTTTATTCCCAAACTTTACATAATATTGTTCCCTTGTAGGCTACATGTAAGTAGCCTACTTTATAGGTAGGCTACATAATTACAGAAAGTTACACTGTAAAATCGCTTTAATTATGCAGTACTTTCCAGGCTGTAATCTAAAGCGTTACCGTGTGCTATTCTTTTATATAGGCTACAACAGAATATATTAACAACAAGTAATGGAGCAATTAGGTAGTTTATTGTCAAATAGCCTAAGTGGTATTGGACATATTTATCATTGCCCAGTGGAGGCATTTAACTGTTCATGCCTTACTCTAGCCTAATAGCCTATATCTATTTAAAAGCACGGAGAAATATAATGTTTGCAGCTGAGATTTAATGATATGAAATTATATTAGCCTACTTTATTAGAATTATAGTAACAGATAGCCTATAGGCCTACATCAAATAATTTGTTATTTCAAATATTATCAAAACCGAGCACGTAGAGGGCAAGAAAATTAATTCTCAAACGAAATCTTGCATTACACCATATTAATAATAATAATATTAATACATAAGTCTTATATAGCGCTTTCCAAGGAACTCAAAGACGCTTTACAGATGAAACAAACAAACAAACAGTCAATGATGAGAGTGCTATTATAAATTGTAGGCAAGGTGAAACAGGTGGGTTATATTGTGATGCGTTATTGTGGAAATATGATACCAGAACACCGCCACCCTCAGGTAATTGCATGTAGGCCTACCGACAGAGCAAAGGCCTACTGGACGTGTCATTAAGCTACTTTATGATTTCATAGGTTCTCAAAAAAAAAACACACAAAAAAAATGGGGGTTGATAAATTCGTTCTCAATCGAAACCGTGCATTGAGAACGTGGCGATGTTCTGGGGATCATATTTATGCATAGCCTGAATATGTTCATGAAAGCAGCCACGTTTTGCACTTTCTGCGCCAAAGCTTGTTCTTGCTTAAAATCCTGCGTGCATTGTACAAAGCTAGGCCTACGCCGTTCAGCTAATAAGGGAAGAATTTCATCATTAGCTAAAACTAATAGGTATGCAGGCTATTCACAATTCATCGCGGTCGCGTCAGATCAATGAGCAGAAGCCATAATTTAGATTTATGTTAGGCTAATTTCGATTTTTAAAGTAATAATTTCGATTTTTATCTCATTTCGACTTGGTAGGCTGTCAAAATTTCGAATTTTGAAAAAAAAATAAGTTTAACTCTAGTTATATCATAATTTATTTTTTTATGCTCAAAATTTTCCCCCGTAGGCTGAATGTGCTTCCATATCGCGTCAGATCAATAGCGTAATCAGCAAGTCATAATTTCGACATGTAACTTTGATTTTTGAATCTCATCATTTAATTAGGCTATGTGGCGGAAATGAGCTTCCATAGAAACAAGCTTCCATATTATCAGATTAGTTTAGGGGTCTTAATCCTCGATATCTCATTGATATTAGATCTAGTCCTAATATTTCATGGATCATTATCCTTTTAAAAGAAAGAGAATTAAGAACACAATTTAGGCTAAGTTCCTTTGCAAATCTACAACGGGTTTGCCTTATTTTGTGGGTTCATTTTGATAGCTCTCTGTGTAATGTAGCCTATGCTAATGAAATGAAGTGTCTGTCCCCTATTTTCCTTTCTTTGGACAAGCCATTTTTTTTACTATAGTTTTTTTATGGATAGTTCTTTCTTTGTAGTGTGGGGGAAATAGGCATAGTCTACATCAGAAATGTAATTTTATTGGAATAACATTTGACGTGACGTCGCTTGCTGAGAGATGTGCAGGTTCCCATATTATGTAGGAGGGAGGGGGATCGGGGGATCTTCACCAGGAGCGCACGACGCAGCTGCGTATTTGCGTCATATGCCGCTGCATTGTGGGTGAAGAGATATTAGCGGAGCCGCGCCATTTTTTTGTGTTTCCACCTGAAAACGAGAATCTCTGCTTAGTGAAGGTTTTGAATCTTTTCCCTGTCGGATTACAATACGAAAACGGGTTGTTATTAAAATGGGACGAAAAAAGAAGAAGCAAATGAAGCCCTGGTGCTGGTATCCTTTTCCATGACCCGATGCGGCCTGTTCAGTGCTTTGGCAGCAGCGTGATCATGATTTCAAGCTCATGCCTTCAGTCTCACGCTGCAGTCACATTTATTGCTACATATTAAAAGAAAGTCAGAAACTTGTATGTTTAGTATTGGTGAATTTTGTTGTTTTGATGCCATTTTAGTTAGAATGTCATGTTTGTTAGTGTTAAGGGAGTATTTTAGACACAATAGCTGTCTCGACGTAGCTAGGCGCTTTCTGAACATTTTGCGCTGTAATGGTGGTCTAGAACTGCAGTCAGATGCATTTTTAAAACATTCAATTTTTATGTTGAAGCATTTCACATCTTTCTTTTTATTTGTAGAATTTTCTCCTCCCCTGAATGTGATCCTTAACCAGAATTTAAGGTACTGCAACAGAGATTTTGATGATGAAAAGATTCTCATTCAGCACCAGAAAGCCAAACATTTCAAATGTCATATTTGTCACAAGAAGCTGTACACAGGGCCTGGATTAGCCATACATTGCATGCAGGTATGGACCTTTTATAACACATAATGCGTTGATGTTTGCTAAGGGGTGTTGAATTAAATCTTTTTCTTTTTTTTAAAGGTGCACAAAGAGACAATAGACGGAGTTCCTAATGCAATACCAGGAAGAACAGACATAGAACTGGAAATCTACGGCATGGAGGGTATTCCAGAAAAGGACATGCAAGATCGGAGAAGAGTACTTGAACAAAAGTCGCATGGTACAGTGTAATAGTGCTTAGGCAATCTAAGTGGTTTGTAAAATGTCAATAGAATGGTTTGTCACAGATATAACCTTGTTGTGTTGTCTGAGCAGAGAGCCAGAAGAAGAAACCGAATCAGGATGATTCTGATGAGGAGGATGATGACGATGATGATGAAGCCGGGCCTTCATCATTTCAACAGCCTGCTGCTCAGCCTCAGGCTGCCTACATGCCTCCTATGACCCAGGCAGGCATCCATCATGTTGCTCATGCCCAAGGCATGCCACATGGTTATGCAGGTGTGTATGACAAAAGTTTACAGAGTACAGCTCAAACAAAAGTGTGGCTCATTAAGACTTAATATATTTTCCTAAAGGCATGCCACATATGTTGACTGGTGTCCCACCAATGATTCCTGGAATGCCACCAGTAATGCCAGGCATGCCACCAGGGTAGGTCTCAATGTTCATTTATGTAAATTCTAACCTTATTATTATGGTCCAGTGTGATTAATCTTTGGTTCTGTTATGAATAGCATGATGCCAATGGGAGGGATGATGCATCCGATGATGCCTGGCATGCCACCAGGTCAGTGTTGTAGACAGTCATTAAACTATTTAAATAGACTAGTTAATATAAATAAGTCATTCATTTTAGTGATGCACTAATAGGAAAACTTTCATTTCGGTTTTGGTAAAAAAAAACCTGAAAATAAATAAAAGGTTACTAATTAAACTCTGTATACTGTTCAGTGTTTGTTCTTGGGTAAATTAAATGAGTTATAGTAAAGTTTTTTTGGCTACAAGCTGCCTCTATTTTAGCTGAACAAATTTTACATATGCTACTCCTAGCAGAATTTATGGTCACTGTAAAGTGCTTCCACCCTGCTGACATTTTAACCTGTTATAGCTTATCCATATTGTGCACATGAAACACTCAAAACGCTTCATCTGAGGAGCGTCTATTAAACTTTGTTTTAAATCAGTGGGTTTAAAAGGAAATACTTTCTTTTTGCTGTTTTGACCGAATATATTCCGTCACCAAAACTTTGTGCATCTGTAATCATACAGATGTAATCAATGGGAAAAACTGTCAAAAGGTTGTAGTAGTAAACCATTTTCTTGTTTACAGGAATGCCACCCCATGTTGCAAGGCCTGGCATGCCTCCTATGGCACCTGCAGCCCCTGTCACAGCTCCTGGTATGGCCAGCAGACCAGCTGTACCTGCCACACAGTCTGTTGCTTCTAAACCTCTCTTCCCCAGCGCTGTGCAGGTACTGAACGTAGGACCAGACTGACTTGTTTGCTGGATTAGTACCGTATTGTTCCAAATATAAGACAACCCCCCCTCCCTTTTCAAGATGTACCTTTTGGAAAAAGGCTTTTTGACGACCAAATCTTGTATTTTAAAGAAACTACTTTATTTGAAAATTATTTTCATATTGCATATTTTTCATATTTAAATTTAAGATTTTTGCATTTAAAGTATGGTAATTACTGGTAAAATGTACCAACAACAATCACATTAGGAAATGAACACTTTATGGCATAGCTACCATAACAACAACCTGAACTTCTCATTTAGTAGATTTCACTATGACTGATTTCTCACCTTTTTTTATGTACAGTGACAGATGCTGGCATGTCAAAAAACACAGGTGTTTGATCCGCATTATCTGATCCAGGGGATGTGAATGTTTTTTCCTTAGGCTGATCACATAGCGCTGAAAAGAGCAGTTTCTCCCTGAAGTCAGAGGGCAAGTGATAATCCATTACACTGCTCGAGGATATTGACAGGCGAGTGTGTCAGTACGTAGCCGAAATAAGAAATGATGGGCCTCGCTGGTGGATAAGTTCAGCTCTTTGGCGATTTCTAGTGCCTTCAGCTGGATGACGGCTCTGGTTATGGGCATCCCCTCATTTCTTTTTTTCGGCTACGTACTGACACATGCCTGTCAGTTTCTTCGAAGCGGCTGCTTTTAGGACCGCGGTAAGCTTTTTAAGACTGTCTTTTTGGGCCCGCCATCTTCTAACATTAAACTCTGACACCGTATTTCTTGGCAGCTTATTGAGAGTTGTTTGTTGACTCCGCTGTTGCTAGTCTTTCTGTTGGGATGTCGTGAAGCATCGCAGATGCAGCGACGGTTGCGTCCACTATGTGACACCATGCGAGATAAACTGATCTAACTCTTGCATCCCGACGCCCATTGTCATTTATGAATCATCACGACACCCTACATCAAATGGATCGTACCAAAACCAGGCTGATATCATGTAGTCTGACTCTGAACCCAGCATAATAGTGAAGTACTTTTCTTTTTGTTTTTTGACAAATAAATTAATAAATAAAGGACAACATCTAAGATCTTGTCGCTAAAGAGACTTTAACTCACTATAAACAGTCTTTTGAAATCGCTGCACAAACACACATGGCTTTCTAGAGTAATTGCCAGTTTACTTTGTGAGGTTGAATCCTGAGTTGAGTCTAAGGAAAGGTGTTTTTTATATATATATATATATATATATACTGTTATCCTTTCTCTCTGTACTTCAGATGGGGACTGGTGTTGCGAGCCCCAGCGCCGCCCCTGCAAGTGCAGAGACACAGTCAGCCTCCTCTAAGCCTCTGTTCCCTAGCTCTGCCCAAGTACGCACTAGTTTGTGTGCTTCTCTTTACTGCAGCACAGCATGCAGATCAGACACGCTTGTTTCTGTCATTAGTATATGCACACCTGCATTATGAAGCTGTGGTGTTGGTATTTAGGCCATAATTAGCTGCTTAGTGATTTGATTTGGTTCTTGATGCATGCGTGTGCTATTTGCGTTCAGCATGTTATATTGACATGTTATATGTACTTGTACTAGCTTTTTTCTTTGTCCATAAAAGATTTGTATTTTGTTTATGTACGAATTGTATTATTTTTTTTAAATTGAAATGATTTTTTTTTTCTATAATTATCCAAAACCGCTCTACTTGACCTTTTTTTTGCCTTCTCTTTAAAAAAATAATAATAATAATTTAGCAGTGCGTGCTGTGATTGTGCAAGACATTTGCTTTTCTTCCAAGCATGTTTTGAAAATGTCAGCTTTTCCTTTCAGGCGCAGCAGACTGTATCAGGACCATCATCAAACACCTCTGATTCTCCTAAAGTGACATTCCCAGCCTACACCCAGCCTTCCTCCACTCCTTCTGTTGCTGTCTCCCCCAGCACTGTGGCCAAACCCCCTGCCACAGTCACAAGTAAGCCAGCCACCCTCACCACCTTGAGTGCTACCAGTAAGTTGATGCACCCTGATGAGGATATTTCGCTGGTGAGTGCTCGAGTTTTGCTCTAACTACTTTTTTTGACAGTAAGTAATTGTGAATGCATTATCTGGTGTTAAAGGGAATATTGCAATAGCACAAATTTACCAATTAAGTGATGTTGTGAGAATACATGCAGTCCAAAGTGTTCTTGTTACTGCAAGTATCTGATTACATTGTTATTGTCTTGGCCCCAATTAAGGAAGAGAGACGGGCTCAGCTGCCTAGGTACCAGAGGCTAATCCCTCGGTCTGGGCAGACTGCAGCGGCTGCTGCCTCGGCTCCCCCTAGTGGAGCAGTGGGAGGAATGATACCTCCTCAGCAGCCTGGAATGAGGCATCCCATACATGGTAAGATTGTGTCTGTAGGTCATCATTTCTGTGTTGAAATGATTAGTCACCGTCACAGAGTTTTTCCTGTATTAAAACCATTTTAGCTGCCGCCAAAATTGAATCTTAGTCCCGCCAAAGATTTATTTGATGTGCCGTTTTGTAGCAGTGGTACTCGCTGATAGCCATCTGTTTTAAAACGCTCCCATGAGTGTTTGTGTTTGCACTCTGTGATGGACAGAGTGGGCCTCCCATGGGCATAAGGCCACCCGTAATGTCTCCAGGCAGCCGATACTGAAACATCGCTGTCATCCCACTAGGTTTGGAGGTTAAGTCTTAGTCTTATATCAAAGGTTTCTATTTACAACGTGTTTTTGCATCGTTAAGCTTTGTAGCCAATAACAGACATATCTGTTGCAAGTGTGAACACAATGGTCAGTCAGATGTGTTTAAGTTTAAGAATCCGTTCAACACCACCCAAAATGCCGGAGTTTTTGTTCAGTGGAGTTCTGCTCGATCGTTAAGAGTTAATTAAGAGATTAATTGCACAGCTTAGACAGCTTCATTGATGATAATGGGAGTTTTCGCAAGAGTGCAGCTTTGTCTACCTTTTGTTGTAATTTACAGCATCAGTGATTATGTCAGCTATCTTTGCTTGCTTTCTGTATAAACAGTGTTAATTTCGTTGACCAATAATTTTCGTCATTATTTTCGTCAACGACATTTTTTTCACAGACGAAACCGAGACGATAACTAAATAAAAACCAGTTTTGAATGACAAAAACTATAACGAAAATCTGTTGACATTTTTGTCAACCAATAAAAACTAGACGAAAATCTTAGGTAGGGACGATTTGGGATAACCTGGCCCTTGCCAGATGAATTTCGCTCCGCCTAGCTTCACTCACATCCATCTGGAACCGATCCATTGAAATGGCGTTTCAGAAGGCTGGGCCTTATCAAAAATCCTTGCATATGATTGGATAAGCCACTTGTCTGTCATCTTTATCGACGTGCTATTTCAACCACTCACACCGAAGCCAACCTGTGACGCTGAAGAATCCGGTCGGGAGAAGGCACTGATCTATTAACATCGTTTCCACCAACAAAAGCCTTAAGAGCCGTTCTCTGATGTTCTTTTAATGAAACAATATTAGGTAGATTGGACAACACGGATGAAATCAATGTTAACAGCATCAATGTTAACTAGGGCTGTGTATCACCAACAATGTCACGATACGATACGCATCACGATACTAAAGCCACGATACGATACGTATCACGATATGGATCAATTTGGAATTTAAATTTCTTTTGAGCAGAGTTTAGTAGCAGTAATATCTTTATTGAATAAACAGTGTTATAACAGTTGTGATAACTGAAAAACTATTTCGTTTTTGTCATTAAAAAACAATGAGAGTTCAATTAAATAAGTGTTAGAATGTGCACCAAACAAAGTAATTTCTTTACATTACGTTGAAATTATTTTAAACAAATAAATACAATAGAATAAATATAGCCTACCAATAAAGAGAAACGTTTTTGAATAGGTCTAGCAGTAGTATTCAGAAATACTACAGACACTTAAAGTAATTAAATGTAAAATAACATTGGGTAGTATTTTAGTCCTGACTAAATTAAATACATTGGCTATAAATCCAGATTCCTTATAATTAAAGCTATCTTTTGTTGTTTTGACGACAATATTAATGACAGACACACATGGCTGCTGTCACTTTAAGAGCTAGTGCACGGATCCTGTGTTCATTATACTGTCACATGCATTAACTGACTGTATTAGACACTCACCAAGATTGACATTTTTGACATCATTTTGCTTGTTTTTGTCCGTAAAAGCGATATAATCCGTGAAAAATAACTTTTGTTACTCGCAGGCTGTTTGTGAGGCGGCTTTACTCTATGTATGCATGCAGAGAAAACCATCTCTCAGAGAGCGTGCGAGCATTGAATAGTTTAAAATCGCTTGAATGTTTTGCGTGGTAAGACTTAAAAAGACGAGCGAATGGTAAAACTTAAGTGACAATGCAATACTCGCCCGAATATGCAAGTGAATATTCCGTCATGTCCCAACTCCCGAAAGCGAGAGTGTATCGCCGCCTTCAGCGCGTTTGACGCTTGCCTTGAGCAACCCATTTTGAGAGACAGAGACAGAAGACGCGGCACAGCTGAACACTCACGCTGTTTGTGAAATTGTGTCTCGAATATTTTAAAATGACTAATTCGATGTTATAACCTGTATGGATTAATCATTATAAGTGGGAGACCTGCGGGAATGGTTAGAATAATGCGTAATACTTGCAATCCCGCGCTGAAATTCGAGCCCTGAATTGGCTACATTCAAAAGCACGACAGTATCGATACAGCAGTTGCTGTATCGATACGCGCATCGTCAGGAGTTCATGACGATGTATCGTCGTATCGATATTCTGAGCACAGCCCTAATGTTAACGCTTGTTTCCTCGATGCGAGCCGCCATTGTTGTCTGAATCAAAACAGTCTCACGGTCGCTTCTCCACTACGTCACATCTATGAAACTCCCGCCCTGCGTCCTGATTGGCTAAACCATAAAGTTGGTTGGAGAAATCACTCTCAATGGAAGAGGTTCCAGATGGATGTGAGTGAAGCTAGGCGGAGCGAAATTCATCTGGCTAGGGCCAGGTTAGATTTGGGAAGGGATCCAGTCAGAACTGATGTCCGGCTGCGTTCGTGGTAGATGTGCACATTTGAATCGTAACGTGCTGCTCTATCCGCCATGACACGAGTTGGCATGTGCTTGATGCATGCCTCATAAACATTAAAAAATGTAAACGTCTGGGAGAAAGAAGAGCCGACATATGGATCGATCTGAATAAGAGTGACGACGGTGAAGTACGGTTTTCTGTGTGCACACACCCGAAGCGCTCAGCCGTATACATTGACAGCTATAGGCTACAGCACGCGAGTACTAAACTTAGCTCTCTTTTGCAACTGAATGGACAAGTACACACAACATTATGTCTAAATTATGTCACAGTCAGTTATGTATTTACAGAACGTTAACAGTTGTGAGAACAGATATGAATCGGATAAGCATCAGTGCAATTGAATTTGCACATTTGGTCATAAAGTGACAGTGTGTAAAAAACTAATGCCGTCTGCTCTTAATAATAATCAACCAATAAAAGAAAAAGAGAAAAGCATTAACTGCTCTTTATTATCTTTAATAAGGATGAATTATATTTAATTTATTCAAATAAATATGTCTGCTTGAAAGATTAAAGAATGATACAGTCAGTTGTTATAAAGAATGCATATATCATTCATTGAAAAGAAGTTCATGTTCTACTTTAGGAGAAGTTTTTTTAAAGTTTAAGATATTTTTTATGTCACGGCAGTAAAACCTGTCTGTATTGCATGTTTAAACTCTAAAGTCATTCATATTAACAGGTTAATAGATGTTTTCTCCGGGAGTATATAATGGGTTTGGAAATTTGAGAGAAATTCTAAATAAACGCATTACAGTTTAACTAAACCCAGTAGGTTTTAGTTGATTAAATCTACTGAAGATTTAGTCGACTAATATCTTACTCTATTTCGTCAACTAAAACAATTCAGATGACTAAAATATGACAAACTAAATGGCATTTTAGTCAAAAGACTGACTAAAACTAAATCAAAATTTACTGTCAAAATTAACACTGTATAGTATATCTTTTTTATGCTGCTAACTACACACCAAAGTTTCTGGATTGACAACTGTATTAAAATGCACGGTTGAATCCGATTGACAATGATAACCATAGCAATAGACAGAACAAAACAATTGGATGCTGTATGACAAATTATCTGTGCATTAAGTCTTGTGGTGTAAATGCAAAATAATAGACCTGACACTTTTTCTGTGTAATGATACTCTGCGGTTCATTTTATTACTAACTTTTAAAATCAGTCAATGTTTATCAGAATGGTTTCCAAACAACAAACAGATGCAGTGGTGCTGTAATAGTGATGTAATGAGGTTACAGGTGTATGTTTAAAGAATTTGTACAGATTCAAACAGCCAATCATAATCAGGGACAGTGATTATCTGTTTATTATTATAATCATACTTAATTCTGTAATCATGTTGACATTAAAATAAGTGATTATTTGATGATTAGCTCAGTTCATTAAGTTTGGCATGCCAAACTCCTTCAAAATGAGACATATGCTTAATATTAGCTGTCAATCTTGTTTAATTTATTATGTAAATGTGAAATTTAGTCTAGGACTGCACAATATTGGAAAAAACTGACTTTGTTTAACTCTGTTAAAGGAGAACTTGGCAACTATTTCAACTTGTTTCAAAAAGTGAAAATCAGCGAAGAAATGGCTAGAGTTGCCAAGTTCACACACACAAATAATAAACTTTCACTATAGTTTACTCACAATATGTGTTTTTTTGCTCTCAGGTCAGTATGGTGGTCCTCCACAGGGCATGCCTAGTTATCTGACTGGTGGCATGCCTCCTTATGGACAGAGTGCCCCAATGGTGCCCTCATACCAAGCTGGCCCACCTGGGCCTCCCATGGGCATAAGGCCACCTGTAATGTCTCCAGGCAGCCGATACTGAAACAGCGCTGTCGTCCCACTAGGTTTGGAGGTTAAACCTTTTCTCATCTTGTGCTTTTAATGTAGCCAAACCAATGAGCTCTAAACCCACTGCTGAAGAAAAAACGGACATTTAAGATATGTAATATCACACAAAAGCATTGGATTCAGCCCTTAAATAAAGACTAAGAAGATAACGGCAGTATCAATGTTAAAGTTGATACATGTATTGCTTTTCTTCCTATTGTGTTTCATTCAGGTTGTACAAGTACAGTATATTAGACAAAGGTTCATAATATATTGAAGCCGCTGGCCTAACAGTATCTCCATGCACAAGGCAAGTTCCCAGTAAGATTTCTGCTTTTATCTTAGTAGTGAAGCCCTCACAGCACCATACTGTGCTGTTGGACTTAACGTCCCCAACATCAGATTGGTGAGGGCTTCAGATCAATGTTGTCATGGTGTTTTTTCTTTTAACTGTTTGCATCCATTTGTTCAGGGTTTAAATAGCACAAGGGTAAATGCATCTCTCTGTAATTGGTTTTTTTTTTTCTTCATGTTTATTTTTATTTTTTTTGCTATGTTTATTGTAATAAAACATGCTTAATTTTTTGATTTTTTTTTCTTCTTGATTTTGTTTTTGTGTGAGTGTTTCCTGAACAGTGGAGTCTTCAGGCAGGTTGGTTTTCTTGATAAAGCCATAATGACGTTACAGATACACTCATTCTGTCAATAACTAATTTGTTCTGGAATGTTCATATAGGCATTTAGTCTTAACACACCATTAAAAGAGTAATTTATAGTAAAGAATAAAGCTTTAATCACTCCTTAATATTTTTAACTGTCAATTGACACATTTTTCGCTTAATAACCTAGTTGCATGAATGAGCTTTCCAGAAGTTGGATTTGTATTGCACCACACATTTGTCTGACATGACATGCTTGATGTGATATTTCTCACTTACCAGTATTAAATTGGTACAATGGCCTGGAAGCATTTCCTGGTCTGCAGGTAAGACCCGCTGTGTGAATTATATTGCAAACAATCCAATTTTACTGCATGTTTTTGTATTTCACCCATGGGTTTTAGTCTCATGTAATGGATTCCTCACAAGAAGAATGTGACGTCTGTTTTATCATTTGGGGAATGCAGGAAAAATTGCCTGAAGATATTTACCAGTTAAGTGTTTGTCAGACAGTAACACAATTTAAATTTATCTCTTTTAGGGTAGCCAACCCTGCTCCTGGAGAACTACCGTCTTGCAGAGTCAATCAAACACATTTGAACCACATGTTATAACCATGGTGTTTAGGATTGCTTGAAATTTCCAGGTGTGATGGAGCAATGCTGGAACTGAACTGCAGGAATGTTGCTCTCCAGGAGCAGGGGTGGCTACCCCTGCTTTAAATTTACTTGATTTTACACCATAGGTTTTCATCTTTACTTCCTAATTTGGTATTACTTGTTGGAATGCCAAGAAGTATTCTTATGATTGTTGCTTCTGATTTAAAGTAGAAAGGTAGGGTTTTTTATGGACTGATGTTGTGAAATAAACAACTTTATTCTAGTTTGAGTTTGTTTCATTGCTTGGATTTTAATACACAAACAGTACCAGTCAAAATGGGGTTAAAGGGATACTCCACTTTTTTTGGAAATAGGCTTATTTTAAACTCCCCCAGAGTTAAACTGTTGAGTTTTACCGTTTTTGAATCCATTCAGCCGATCTCCGGTTCTGGCGGTAACACTTTTAGCATAGCTTAGCATACATCATTGAAGTGGACAAGACCATTAGCATTTCTCAAAAAAAAAATGACCAAGGAGTTTTGATATTTTTCTTATTTAAAACTAGACTCTTCTGTAGTTACATCGTGCACTAAGACCAACGGAAAATGTAAAGTTGCGATTTTCTAGGCTGACATGGCTAGGAACTATACTCTAATTCCTGCGTAATAATCAAGAAACTTTACTGCCGTACCATAAGTGCAGCAGGCGTAATGATATGACGCATTAGAAAAATACATTACTCGTCTTCATCTTGAGGTAAAACAGTTACACTGACATTTTAAGATATAAATAATATCAGATGAACATGAGGAGTGCAGTGTTTTGACTCCACCTTGAAGGGGTTTTGGGTTTGGGGGCCTTTAAAGATCAAGAGGATAAGGAATCCAGCATTAGATGGTTTGTGAGAAAATGGATAATGCCCAGTTACAGTAATGTAAACTAAAATGGATTAGATAAACTTCAGTTTTAAATAGGTGGATTGAATATGTTAAAAATTATTTTGTGACAAAATGTTCAAAAGTGTGTTGCTTTAGCTCGTTTTAATTAAACTGAACAACAGTCAAACACCTTTTTCTTCTTCTTTTCCGAAGGAGTACAGATGCGTATGGTGAATACATGTGCAAACTTTAATGTTCAAATTTATATAACAGATGATTGCCAGACCATGAGAAATTTTGTCTGCAGAAATCCATGTTCAGCCCTGAGACGTTACAGTTAAGTAAGGAATAATTGACGACAGGCCAGGCCATTGAATTATTAGAAAAATAATGCACACCCGAGGTGGGTATGCGGTCACGACGCGAAGCGGAGTGGCCGTAACGGAGGTTTGAGCCACGGATAGCAGACTAATGATGGGGACACACTTACGACTTGCTGAAACATTCGAAGACTGACTGTTTCCATCGACTGTGAATAGGTAGACTGAACGCGCTGAACACGCGTTTGGGCATGATCAGTCATAAGTATCAAATTACATTCATAACTGGCCTTAGTCAGTGTGTCCCGGCTTTATGCAGTTTTTAATGCCGTTATTAGAGAGTGAGAGAGAGATGTTGCAATAATGAGACAGAAAAGCATGTGCGTCAATATTATTATTTATTTATTAATTCAATTTGTTTTAATTAATTCGTTCATTCTTGTTTTCGATAATTGACAGTAGATAACCCAATAAATGAAACACACAAAGCCCTTTTAACAAGTAGGCCTATCAATAATTATTTATTTGTTATATTATCTGGAATAATTACGAAAACCCAGCAGGACTATAAATTTATTTATATAGCCTATTCAATTTAATTTTCTATTTAGCCTATAGATAGTGTGATAAGAAACAAGAGAACAACATGAGCATACTTTAAACCTAACATTATGAAAGATACTTTATTTATTAAAATTAAACTTAGATTGTGAAGTTAGACATCGAAAATTGCAGATCAAGCGCATGGGGCAGCATGTTTTTTCTTGTTATGAATTGTATCCTATTTTCCGTTATTACAGTTAACTACGCGCAATGATATGGAACTGTAATGCGGTCAAACCTGCCTGGAACTACTTAGTCGTGCGTTTCCCTGAAAATTATTGCACACCTTAGAACGTTCTCAACCAATCAGAATCAAGCATTCAACAGCCCTGTAGTATAAACCATTTTAATGAACATAATAACACATTTCTGAGAACACACATATTCTATAAAAACAAGAAACTACATTTTAAAACATTCTCACAGAAGTTTAATTTACCTGTTACACTTTAAAAAGTCTCAAAACCCCATCCCTTACAAAGGTGAAGTTGAAAACATTTTGTTATAAATATTTCACTAGTAAGCATATTCTCCAAACTGCTGGGGAATCAGAAAAGGTTTTTTTTTTTGTACTTAAGGCCACTGATAAGCCAGTCGTCTATTGGCTTAACAATGCCAGTTTTAATGTTGGACTGACTACAACTCTTCCTTCCCACCTAAATGTCCCACCGTGTTCGTTCATCTGACTGTAGGCAACGTCGGCCCTGGAGAGCCACTGTCCTAGAGAGTTTAGCTCCAAAAAGATCTGCCTGCATAGCCTTACTCCTGAAGACATTGATTAGCTGGTTCAGGTGTTGGAGCTTAACTGTACAGTGTCTCTCCAGGACTTATGTTGCCTACTTCATATCTAGAAGAAATGGTCCCCCAACTGAGCCTATTTTTTTTTTTCTCCATTTCTGTCACCTGATGGAGTTTGGGTTCCTTGACATTTGATTGGAGCAAAGTCCAACTGTCTCTGTTGTCAGATGTCTATTATTTTGTATTCCTTCTTTGCTTGGCCGAATAACAATACATTTTGTCTAAATTATATACAGTATTTTGCTGACTTTGAAAATGTCTAAATATTCATTCAGTGGCTCCAGCAGGATGTTTCTAAGATGACAATCTTTTTTAGACTACTTGCTTTCCTGCCCTCTCAGATGTATAACGTGTACATGTGTCCAGAAGATGCAGATTGATAATCTGAATCCAGAGTTCCTGTTCCCCTGTTTTCACGACCAAATCTGTTTTTGTTTTAGTCCTGTGTTCTCTGTACTCCCTCTAAGTGGCAGTATAACTGTTGGTTCTGTGAGGTGAATAAGCTCTGAAAAAAGTTCTTGGCATTGAAAAAGTAAAAGGTCAGTTTTATTCAAACAACTTCAGATTCATTTGGTTGTTGTTGTATCCAGGGAAAAGAGCTGAGTCTGCATATCTCTTCTATCTTTGTAGATTGCAATGAAACAGTCAATTTAATTTGTGTAATTTTGATTTACCACTCATAATCGACTGAGATTGATTTGTACTTTCATATTTATGGTTCCATGTGTAAATATCACACATATTACACTTTTGAGTTATTTAACAAGAGTGAATTATTCAAGAGTGATAATATACATATTATCACTAACAAAGTGAACATGACTGTATGCAAAAATCTACGGTTTCACAATGATTAACTGAAGGTGACAAACCACTTAATGCTGGTTTCCTTTTCCTCTTGATCTTTAAAGGCCCCCAAACCCCACACCCCATTCAAGGTGGAGTCAAAACACTCTGCTCCTCATGTTCATCTGAGATTATTTCTTTGTTACACTCAGACGTTTTTGGCTTTCTTACCACAGTCACTGGTTTCTCAATTAATTTCCTCTTTCATAATGTTAGGTTTAAAGTATGCTCATGTTGTTCTCTTGTTTCTTATCACCCCCTCTGTAAATGGTAAGTTAAATTCCATATAGGTTCTAATATGGTCAGGAGTGAAACTAATGTTTATTTAAAGTTTTAAAAAAGTGTACTCATAAGACTTGTTGGATTTCATTTTAGCAGTCTAAAGCAGTTCTATTAGTGTGTGTAACTTTTATAAATTCTTCAATACATGTGATTCATCTATAAATATGTTACTAACTAGCCATTTCACCTCAGCACATGGAGGTATTGTTTATATCCACAGAGGAAGAAATTCATCCATTGACATTTCCTGCGAATCAACCAATAAGGAGGGAAAACCATTCGCCTTTTCACTGAAACGCAGGTTGCTGCAGTCCAGACGAGTACTGTACCTTTCTGAAGGATTATTACCAACTATCAATAAATCTGAGGACAAGGATCGCATCACAGTACGTGATGAGTTGTACAACCACACAGTTCATCTGACAATCTCAAACCTGCAGGGTCGGGACATAGACGTGTACCACTGTGAATTCTACTATGGCAGTCTTCCAGAAGATAAGAATATCCCTGGCAAGATGGAGTTCTTCATCTATGTTGAAGACTTCTGTAGGTGACCTTTATTTATATTACTTTAAATATGCGTTTACGTGATGTCCCGTCCAAACAGTGGATAGCCGAATTAGGTTAATCTTGCATTTAATGCCATCACCTTACAAACAGAAATCATACAGATGCGCTTCATTTTCAACAGCAAATTGTCAACAGTGCATTATTTTCATGCAGTGTGGTGTGTTATTTTTAGATACAAATGTAGGATAATCAATTAATAAACCTCAACAGGAACAGATTGATTACTGTTATTTTTCAGTGCATTAGCTTGTAGTATCCGAATCTTTCAGTCAACATGCTAGTCATGTTAAACTAGAATGAAACATTTTCAAATCTACAATTAGATCTACGTTAGATTATTGCAATTTACTACCGCCGTTGATGTATCAACGTAGGCTACTGTGAGTGAAACTGGACAATATGATGCAGTCAAGGAGTGAAAGTCTCAAATTACTCATAAGGTCAAGCAGAAACCACAAAATAATTTCTTCTTTTTTGTGTAGGCCTACTGTTCTTTTTTATTTGCAGATGATTGTTACAGAACCTAAGACTGAAAATTGGGTAACGCTTTAGATTACAGCCCGGAAAGTACTGCGTAATTAAAGCGATTTTACAACTTAACCTTCGGTAATTATAGTGTACCTACAACGTACTTACAATTTAAGTATAAGGGAACAATATTTTAAGTTTGGGGAATAAAGGGGTAACAACCAGGAGAATTTAAAAAAATGATTTATACTGAAAGTATTATAGAACTAAGGGGTACTTATTCTACTATATGATACAACAATCTTACATTTGGGAGCAATTTAGCAAGAACATACACTGCGTAGCTACCTTTTTGAAATAATGGTGAACCAGTACATACTGTATAGGCTTTTTAAAAATTACAGGGTACATATATATGCATTTATAAAGTAATCTTTTTAACAAAAGTGCACTGAAAACGAAAACTATTGCAACTTTTGCTTAAATATTGGGGAAAGATACTCTTGTTTCATGTAGTGGTGCTTGTTACCCCCTTGTTCCATGTAGTTACAGGGTAAGTGTGACATTGCGGGCTGTAAATTAAAGTGGTGCTTGTTACCCCCTTGTTCCATGTAGTTACAGGGTAAGTGTGACATTGCGGGCCGTAAATTAAAGTGGTGCTTGTTACCTTCTTGTTCCATGTAGTTACAGGTGTAAGTACAATAAAAATGCATACACACAATCTTATATCACTGACTCAGAAACCTTTATTTATTATACAAGCACCACTTACCCTGTAACCAGATATATTTCCCAGTATTTAAAATGGCAATAGTCTTAGTTTTTCTTGCCTTGAAACACGTAAGCCCAAACTTAAACATCTGCACTTTTGCTATAAAAAAACAACAACAACAACTATACAGTATATATTGGTTCACAATTATTACAAAAAGGTACATAGTGTATGTTCTCGCTAAATTGCTCCCAAATGTAAGATTGTTGTATCATAATAGAAGTAGAATAAGTACCCCTTAGTTCTATAATACTTACAGTATAAATCATTTTTTTAAATTCTCCTGGTTGTTACCCCTTTATTCCCCAAACTTTACATATTGTTCCCTTATACTTACATGCAAGTACTTTAAAGGTACACTATAATTACAGAAAGTTACACTGTAAATTCCTCATAATTACACAGTACTTCCCGGGCTGTAATCTAAAGCGCTACCGAAAATTGAAATAAAATAAACTTGGGCTGACTACCTACCTAGTGCATTTACTGAAAAAGAGACACATTTTGTGCATAATTCTTTTGGCTCCTACTTATATATGTGTGTGTGACACAAATGGCTACAATAATTCAATAATATTTTCGTATGAACTAAAGTTTAGTAATAGCCATAATAAAGACTATTAAATAACCTACTTTACATGTGTTCAGCCTATTTCTTATTGACTGATTTATAGGTCAGATATGGGCAGATATCTGCCTGTGGAAAAATTAAAATATATTTTATGTATATTCATTGATGGCCGATCACAAAATCAGCAGCATATCTTAAATATAGTGAAAATAACCATGAGAGCTGTGGGAATACAATGCATTAAATACAGTGGTATTGCAGCATGCTCCTTTATTGTGATTGTGTTTGTTGCGACTGTGTTGCAGCTCGTGAGCCATTGCCATCGTGTGATTGTTTAAGTTACCTGTCATTGCTGTATGTGATCTCTGGAGCTGCATGTCTGCTGGGGGTTCTGGTTTTCACTCTCGCTACAGCTTACTGTGTAAGTATTAAGTTTCAAGTTTGTTTTTAAATTCAATGGATAGGGGAGAGTGGGGTAAGCTGTGCCACCCCGTTTAGGTTGTTCTTTAGGCAAAAAGACCTGAAATAGAAATACTAATTATGGTCAACATGTCTGCTATTCACTGAAAATAGAAGAAAGTGCATATAACAATAGGTCCATAGACCTTTTTTCCTCCTCCTCAAAAAAGTGGTCCCTCCCTATATTAGGGACCCCATCATTGGGGAATATGTCAATGATTATAATAAAATGATAATATGAGAAAGAACACATTTGAAAGTTTCATTGCAACTTTATTTTACAATATAATGTTTAATTGTTATTGGCTCAACAAAATCAAAAATTAAATAAATGAAAAAATCCTGAAACTGTTGACAGCGATTTGCCAGCAAATATGTGGTTTAAAGGTGGTGTCTTTCTGACCATATATGGTTTACTCCCCACTATATATTCAGTTTCAGTTAAACCCTCCTTCTACCGATTTCCTCTCACATACAGTGTAAAAGGCCCAACGGTAGAAAGCCACAGCCTGTAGTTCCTGTTTATGAGGAGATGACTGGGGTGCGGCCGGCCAAAAGAAAAGCCACAAGCTGTCAGACTGATATTGCAAAACTGGAAGAAGCAAACAGCTCTGTGGCCACTTTGTTCAGCAAGGAAAACCTCTATGTTAATTGATTCAATGAAATGTAGTGAATAAGAAGTCACTCTACTAGTGTTGACGTTCATGATGATGCTTTAGCTGACCCACAAGACTTTACTGAATCATCAGCTTTAAAAGGTGTTTGATAGCATAAAATTGGTCTTTTCATCTTCCATCTATACCTTTGTTAAAGGTACTTTTAAGACATGTCATTTTATTGCAGAATCTCAGCTTGTATCCTTTTTATACAGAAATGAATTGCTTTTTTAAAGTACAAAATGTATATATTATATGATAAAAAGACAGATAAAAGTATTTTGTATTTCTTTAGTACACACTGGCAATATCTTTATTTGCCGTTTTTGTTTTTATCCCTTGTGTGGAACTGAATAAGAACAGAATGGTAGTTTCCCACTGTCTGCACAGTCTCCATGTAAAAAATGTTGCGATATCACAAAATACTGTTGCAGGACCTGTTTATTAAAAGGTTGGAAAATTATGGAAACTGACAAGGGGGAAAAATGCTGTTGATTAGACTTTCACAATTTTTCAGACATTATGTAAAACATTAAAGCATGCAAATAAAGTTTAGATGAAGTGCTTCCACAGTTTCACACACAGGCTTCCGGTCTTTTCTGCCACTTGGTTGGTTTTCGTTCAAAAACAGTGAACCACAGATCGCAAACAGTCTATCTGACAGTTTGAGATAAAAGTGAGAGCAAAGTGTGACATTTGTTTGCTTTAAATATCAATGCTATATGTTTTATTCACATGGCAACAAATAAATATTAACTCTCATGTACATATTTACAATTTGCTTGTATCATGTTTAAAGAAAAACTTAATAGTTTTCTGTCTCAAATAGAGTCTCAAGACGTGGGAATGTACATTTGACAATAAATAGAAATATAACAGCTAATGTTGCGTCATGCATTCTTTCTTAAACTAAATCTTGTTTCTATTGATTCTTCTGCAAATGGGAGATAGCTAGGGCAGACAGGAAGTGAGGGATGTAAGTTTTAGGGTCTGCTCATCGAGATCTGAGGAGGGCTCTGTACATGGCAAACCCTAGAACAGCACAAACAGTGGCTCCAACACTCGCTCGGAGCCAAAATGCAGAGCTCTTCAGGTCAGCATGGGTGATATGCCTAAAAAAAGAGCAAACAGAAATGAAGAGAAAAAGGTTAAATTAATGTTTAGTAGCTTGCCTTTAGAACTATACTAATTTTACAGTTACGGGACTGCAACTTAAGATAAATACAAATAAAACATTTAGTAACATTCTGTAGGGAAAACGGAGTTTAGTTTAGTGAACAATGATGCCCGAAAAGTGACAAACCAAAGAATTCAAATAAATAGATATAAAAATATACAATCAGTGTTATTGAAAGGCAGGAGGAAAAGCTTGTCACTAAAATGTTACAAAACTCAGTCAAAGATGAAGAAAGATGACAATTTCAGATTCAAGAAATGGCAATGAGATGGAGAACACAAACTTTAAGAAGAGGAAATAGAGAGGAAAATGGCAATAGATGAATCACTGTGTTGCAACTTAAAACTTGTGTGAAAATGAGAAACTGAATTGCTGCATGTCACAAGTTGCAAGTCTGGTGAGGATGACAAGATATTGAATTTAAGAAGCATGTAGAATGTTCAGGAAAGTGTTCAATTCACTTGAACCCCTTCACCAGCCATATGTTGTATATGTGAAGTATATCCCGACTACTTGCATATTGCATGGTTTGTTTTTTAATATAAGTCATTATAATCATTAGGTCTAATTACACACACACACACACACAAAACTGAATATTATCATTAATACCACTAATCCTCAAAATAACATTAGTGTTTGTATGCAGGCATTAATGTTTGTATAAACCATAAGGAGGTGGGCTTCCCCAGCGTGAGAGTCCCCAGATTTTTGGTTCCAACAAAGGATTTTTTCTTATCTACTTAAATATTTTAGGGAGTTTTTTCCTTGTCATTTTGCTTGTTCATTGGGGGAATTTGTGAGACACTATTCTTTGTAAATCTCCTTTGGAACTATACTTTCTGAAAACTGCTACACAAATAAGCAGGACTGAATTGAAAAAGTATCTAAAAATGCTTGGTAAACCATCCAAAAATCTACACCCCAACTCTGAAAAGAGGTGACAGTCCACAGAAGATCATAACTGCAGCAGCTCTGTTGGCTAGGGCCTCTCAATAACACTATATAGTATTATGACTACCGGTATATGGTATATTCAAAAGTTTATTAGCACATTATGCCAGGCCAAAACAAAAAGCTGAATGAAAGAAAATTAATGTGAATCAGCATGAGAGTAATGAAGAAAAAAGTGAATGAATAAAGATAAATGCAGAAGAGATAAGTAAAAAACAAAGAGGAAAAGCAATGAAGCAAGATAAAAGCATCCTGAGAACCTGCTAAAGACGACAGTGTAGAGTTTGGTCCGAACCGTCTGCACAAGCTCAGAGTTGAGGAAGTTCTGACACAGACAGAAAGTGCACCTGTTACAGGTGCACATGCAGCGTAGACGCGCATGGCTGCCAACACACAGAAAAAGATACAGGCACATGACAGAAATGAGGCATTTCGAAGAAACAAGATATAGTGTGCTTTTGAGTTAACAGTTAAAGGGAAAAAGTGAAAGGATTAAAAGCACATTGTTCCTCAAGTTTTTTTAAACTACTAACAAGTGCAACATTCTCTGTTGTTTTCTCTTTTGTTGTCTTACACAATGAAGGAAAAAATGATATCACATGCTTGGGTCTGAGTAAACCACCTGACCGTGTACAAGTTTTATTGTTATCTGCATTTGGAAAAAAAATACCCTGAGAGATAAACAAGAGCGGTAAATTAACTCTTTCCCCGCCAGCGTTTTTGAAAAAAGTTGCCAGCCAGCGCCAGCATTTTTTATAATTTTCACAAAAGTTTAATGGCCCCCAAAATATCTTCTTGTATGAATATCTGATCATGAAATATCTCACAAGAAAGAACAGACTATCTTGCTTTTAAACAAAAAAAAACATTTTGTTCTAGCTTTTAATGCATTCTTTTTTTTTTATCAACACTTAAATGTGGGCAAGTTTAATAAAAACAGCAACATTTTGAGCAAAAAGCTGAGAATATTGTGTTTTCGACAAAGGCTACATCTAGATCGGATTCAGAACGATGATCAAAACATAGATGAAGTAGATCAAGTCCATCAACATCCCCAAATGTTTGCACAGTCCTATAGCTCTTCCTGGGTCGACATTTCATTCGGTAACATTTGATTTATATGCTGTTTAATGTTGATGATCGCCCCCCACCATATAACAGTAAAAACACTAAAAGCCGGAAAATTCCGTCAATGGCAGAGAAGCGTTGTCTCATAAATGACGGAAATTTCCGTCAATGGCAGGGAAAGAGTTAACAGAGATAATTAACAGAGATAACAGAGAGAATTCAAAAATAGTAATTTATAGTAATAAGTTGTCTTAAAACATCCTAAAAGGAATTAACAAGCAGAGGCAACTCTACTGTGCTTCAAATGTGTTAAAATACCCTATAAATATTATAATTGTGGATAATGTAAACACACTTACGGGTACACGGCCATGGTGGTGAGTTTGATGAAGATGTCTTTGCTGGGAGCCGCAGCTGTGTTACAGGTATAGGACTGAGGCGGAGGCATCTTGTGCTTGCGGCAGAATTCCAGTGGAGTCATGCAGTATTGCTGCTTTGTTTCTGGCAGGTCTGACTTTGCGGCAATCAGCATACATGGAGTCTTACTGTCCATGAAGTGTTGCTGGGAAATGAGGTAAAACGTGAATTTAGAACACATATATCAGAATACATGCAGAATATAGGATGTTTAAATTACAGTCACAAAGGAACATTACCACAAATGTGAACTTATTGGTCTCTCTATTAAACAGACAGCATAGTATTGGCTATGCTTTTTCTTTAGATAGCAAAAAAATTGACATCAAAGTGTAAAACAACAATACCGTGACCAACACTGTGTCCAGTATAGCAAACCTTGAAGATTCGTGAGCAGTACTCAAAAGAGCAGGGGTTGCTGACATCATAGATCAGACACACAATGTCACATGAAAGTTCTGTCTCAGACAGGACATCAAAATCTGGAAAGACTTCGTGGAGCTGAAGGAAAAACATAGAAACTTAGAACAAAGTTTCAAAGATTCAGTTTACTTTTCGAGAAACTGATAAATAGTACAAATAATGAAAAATGGTGGTCAATTCTCTGAACTCTTTAAATGGATTAAATGCATAATGTAAGTTCAAATGGTTTGAGGAACTGCAATAGAGCGAATTAGTCTTCCGTCAAAACCCAGAAATCCTTATTCGCCTGTGGTTTCCTCAAGATTTTCACATGGGGTTTTATACTGGGGTTTTACAATTTATGAGAAAAGTGGTAAATATAACTTGATGATACTTGGACATTTTGCTCAACAGCATAAATTACACACACACACCCATAGCAAAAATGTGCATTTTGAAGTATCTAGATAAGAGCGTTTGGGGTGTGAGTGTTGTGCAGTTTACATGGTAGAGCAAAACATTCAAGAATCATCAAGTTATGTTTATCACAGACCTTATTTTACTCACAAATTGGAAAACCCCATAGGAAAATCTCGATGGAACCAGTAGCGAATTAGTCTTCTGGGTTTTGATGTCATCCCTGCTCCATTCTCTATACTTTTTGAAAAGAGTGTTCAGAAACTGTAGTTCCACAAACTGAAAAAAAAAACCTCTAATGTGAAAGATTCTGTAAGAAAAAACGATTTACCAACAAGTACTTCTCCTGTCCGTACACATGTGCAGTGCTGATTGCATAATATGATTTATGCTCTTCTCTTATTGTCCTCTGATGCTGTGAGGAACAGAGTAAATAAACAGCAATCATGACAATGTCACATCTGAAACTACACAATGTCACATTTTTTAATGAATAGATTGCAAATGATACCATCAGAAATGAGCATGTAAAATATTTCAAAATCATGTTGCTGTTGTTCCTCTCATTTCTAGACAGAGAAGCTCTGATGAAATCTAAAACTGTGCAACAGCTGAAGTATGAACAAATTACTTCATGTTTGTACTATGAACAAACAACATAATCCCTAATGCATTAGATTTAGCACATTTAAAAAAACCTAACTTTGTTGTAAAGTGTTACCCAACAATATCAAGAAAGAATCCAGACAGGATACTTATTTGAGGGTAGGCTGTCTATATAGATTTTCAATTAAATGTGTTTTTTAAAAACATTTAAGTGTTTTTCTTGTAACTGACCACAAGGTTTCTGCCGAGGAAGCCCTGCAGGAAACCAGTTTTGCCACTTCCAGTTAGTCCAAACACATGACAGCGAAATACATTCCGTTGCGTCTGTTTCTTCTGAAGGTCGAGCTTCTTATCACGGGTCACTAGCATGTGCAAAAACATTCAGTCAGCACCACAGCTGTCATACTAATCTTTTATGAATTTTAAAATAAAATACATAATGTCATGATGAATTTTACACAGTCATTGAACTAGACTGAATCAAGACTGAACTGACTTTAGCTGTATTTTTTAGAACTGTTTTATAGCAGAATTGAAATCTGTTTGCATCAATGATCATTATTTTCCTTTAAAACAATCTGTATTGTACAAAGCACTGAGTAAATAAAGTCAGGTCACCTTTATTTATTTAGCCCTTTATACAATACAGATTGTTTGAAAGCAGCTTTACAGTGATAAAGGGAAAATTATGCATTTCGGCTGTCAGTTCAATGTTGATTCAGTTCCCTTGTAAAGATCATTATCTATTACAGTTTTTCTCAATAGCTTAGGCACATTTTCCGAAACAGTCTTCACATTCTCTAAACTCTAAGCTCAATTGTAACAACTGTTTGCTGGAACATCAGAACTTAAAGACAATGGCATGTCTGCAAAACAGCAACTCACCCAAAACATTTCATTCATGCTTCAAAACCAAGTTATTGTGTTAGTCAATTGGCCAAGGGCACCAAAATAAAAAGTGTTTGTGTCATCGTGTGAGCGATGTTTTGACTCAAACTGCTTTCTATACTGTACACGAATGTCAGTTTTTCTGTGTAAATACAGATTCCGAGAGTAGGTAAAAATTGACTGGGAAAAGTCAACACTGTAGTACACAAAAAGAATTAATTAAAGCTGCAGTCCGACGTTCAACGCTATCTGCTTGCCTTAGTTCGAGTCAAAGCGGTAAGCTTGTAATAATGTTTTTAATTCCAGTGGTACAGGTGGATTTCCGCAGGAAATTCGAGCATGTCTTTGCGTCATTACGTCACATCTGTACACATAAAGAAGGAGGGAGGTGGAGATTTATAGCCTTTTCTCACAGCACTTGATATAATTAAACATCAATTTGATAATTCCGCGAATTACTGCAATTGCAGATTTTGAACAGAGATGGCGACAAAGAGGAAAAACTGCGGACTGCAGCTTTAAGAAAAAATTAACATTTATATTTTTACAGTAGATTTATTTTTGCAGCAATGTGTTACATGTCAACTGAAATTCTCAGTTGCTTGTTCATTTTTACACACTTTATTATCTCTTTCTCTAACATAAAGTACATATATTCTTAGTTACATATCTTCCTATTGCTCTTCCATGACAAGAATTTTTAGTTTACATGCAACACATTTCTAAAGAAAAAAAAAAAAGTATTTATACAGTACTGATGTAGCTGCTGCTTTTCAGAGTTGTGATGTTCCTCCATGTTCAAAAATGGTGGTGATTGTGCTGTCTGCAAACTCCATATACATATATGCATGTATATACGTATATATAGCCTAGTTTCCAAACTTGATTGGTTGGTTGATTGGTAAGATAGTGATTCCTATTTCATTACAACGGCAGGCCATTTGCCAATTTAGCAAACATTACAAACATTCCATGTCATAAATATTCATGGCATATAACATGTCTGACAGATTTTGATCACTGGATAGATCATTTTGCATGTGATGGCTCACACGTTGAAAGACCGTTTAGAAGTTGTGTAGAATCAACTCATCAGTTTTTATCAACAAGCCATGTGCATTAAGTCATTGTGCAAATTGTAGACAATTGTACTTACTCTTTTGCACACATGTGCCCATTCAATTTGCTTAAATCAATAAGGAATTCAAATCTGATGTGAACAAGAAACTAACTGTTCAGAGATCTGAACCTATTGTTTCGAGAAAAAAAGTCTCATTTGAGAATTGTGCCAAAGCAATTGAGAAAAACTGTAAATTAGTTAATTTCATCTATAAAGCAGTTTTGCAGAAAACAGTGATATCAACAGGGTGTGGTTTAATTCCAGGCTACATCACAGATCAAGGATTTGTCTCATAATTTATGAAGTTTGCAACACTGATTCTGTTATTTTTCTGTATATTATTGTAACGCTGATTTGAAACAGCTGTATTGTATAAAGCTGTATATAAATAATGGTGATTTGACTTGACTACTGACTTTTGATTTCTGCATCTGCAATTACGATAATAACCACAGGAGGGCTCAGTGACTCATGAACAGGTCACCCAAAGATGAAAATCTTGTCATTATTTTCTCATCACTTTTAAAAACCCACTCAATTAATGCATATTCGAATATACAGACTTTCTACTCAAAAATACCAAGAAGTAGTAATTATACAGTGGTGGCCAAAATTATTAGAATGGTAAGATTTTTTAATGTTTTATAAGAAGTCTCTTCTGTTCACCAAGGCTTCATTTATTTGATCCAAAATACAGCAAAAACAGTAATATTGTGAAATGTTTTTACAATTTAAAATAACTGTTTTCCATTTAAATATATTTTAAAATGCTATTTATTTCTGTGATGCAAAGCTGAATTTTCAGCATCATTACTCCAGTCTTCAGTGTCACATGATCCTTCAGAAATCATTCTAATATGATGATTTGATGCTCAAGAAACATGTATTATTATTATTAATACTGGAGTAATGATGCTGAAAATTCAGCTTTGATCACAGGAATAAATTGCATTTTAAAAACATAAAAAATCGTCCCGTTCTAATAATTTTGGCCACCACTGTATATGTATATAATTATAGGTCATACAGTATATAGCAAATATGTCTTTTAACTTACCGGTTATGGCAGATGCCTGAGACTCCTGCTCAGCAATAATAGAGTAACCAAGGTAGCCAAGATATTCTAGACATCGCTGGACATCCAGGTAAGTTGTTAAACTGCAAAAATGACATTGATAATTGATAAACTGATGAACCATCCAGACAGAAATGAACAACAGGGTAGCATTTCAATGATTAATAGATTCATTCTACTGTTGAAAAACACATAATTACATTCACAACATTAAGGACACAAAGACACATGGCATGATACACACGTCCACTGAGAGAGATAGCCTTGATATGTGATCCAGCCCTGGTCATTAGTGCAGACCGTACTGTTCACATCCAGTCCCCAGGGGATGTAGGGGAAAACATTGAACAGATCCATAAGCTCTTCAGGGGACAAAGCACAGTCTCTGTCCTAAAACAGATAAAAACAAGCTTCAGTAAAAACAAGATACAAATGATCATCCAGAAAACGGCAACTGAACCTCCTGTAATTAAGTCTAGCGCTACATTTGTGACAGACATTTTTATCTAGACATTTTAATAACATGGTATGTTTCATTAATGAATATTTTAAAAGGATCAAATAGGATAATCTTAATAAATATGTTAAAATAATATTATGATAAACTTTTTTTCAGGCAATGTCTGAGGAAGTCAACCACTTGTACCTTATCATGTTTGTCAAAGACGCTCTGTAGAAACAGGTAAGCATTGTGATTGAGCTCTGTGGTGCAGTCTGGTGGTATTTTTAACCTGTAGGAACGTAAACATGGAGTCGGATGTTGATAACTGTAAGATTAGCAGATTAGCATAGTTGGATCAAATTGGGATTGCCGAAAAGTCTCTAATGTTCAAAGCAGATTAAGAAAGTTCCAGATTAAGAGAGTTCAAGCTTGATTTTAATTACTGTAAGGGAGCAGTTACATTATATTTGTACTATTTATCCATTTCTCAAAAAAGATATTCTGTGCACTCACATTTGAGCATGTAATAAATTAATAATTCATTTATAAAGTTTTTTGTACTGAACAGTGGACAAAATTACAATATGTAACCAACACAACAACTAAGACCCAGTAAAAACATCTGTATTTCAAACCTGAGGAATATAAATCTACAGTATGTTCTAACCAACAAAACATTTACAGAGGTCACTTCAAACAAGCCAATTGAATAGGAATCAGAAATGAGGTGTAATAAGACGCTGCTGCTTCCAGCCATGACAAGAGAATGTGACTTGCAGAAAGAGTGACTGATGGGAAGTGGCATTTCTTACGGGGGAAACAGGTAGTCCTGATGCAGCTCGAGATCGTCATCATATCCAAACCTCCGCAGTACCGTCCACGTGGTCTCATGCCTTCCTCTTTGGATAAAGAGAGTATGTAGGAAAAGGAAACCTGTGGGGAAAAAAAACAATCTGGATATTCCTTTTCAGGGATAAAAAAGTATGCAAATGTTAAGCTTCACAAATGCAGCCTTACCTTTGAGAGTGAGCCCATTGTCATGCACTCCATCCGTCAGGTTTTTACTTACAACATTTTTTACATCCTCTAGGGCTTGTGGGGCTAGTGGGGTGTTGAAACAGGTCATCTAAAAATAAGAATCAGACAACGACATTGAATACATGACAAAATAAAGGGATAGTTCACCCAAAAATGAAAATTTTGTCATCATTTACTCACCCTCAAGTCATTACAAACCCATAAGAACTCAGTTAACCTTCGAAACAAAAATGAAGACTTTTTTTTAATAAAGCCTGAGAGGCTTTTATTATGAACATTGATCAGCATGCATACATAGAGCACATCAAATATTCATCTTTTATATTTTTCACCTCCTTCATATTTTCATTTTGTGTTTCGAAGATATAATATGATATGAAATAACAAGAGAGTGAGTAATTTATGACAGAATTTTCAATTTAGGGTTAACTGTACCTTTAGTTTGATTATATGGTTATGGTTTGACTTAAAGCAAAATATAGAGTTAGATTGTCTTCTTTAAGGTTAGGACCAACAAATAGTAGTTAAAGTGTATAAATATGAAAATATGTCCTTAGGAGAAAAAGAAGTCTACATTCACAAATATACTACCATGACCAAAACACCAAATATATTTGTTGAGAATTTACTCCAAAAACACTGGCATTTATAGGAGGTTGATCCACAAAAGCTTCCACTCTTCTGGAATGGCTTGCTACTATATGATACAATATGGATGCAGGAATTGTCTCCCATTCAGACACAAGGACATCAATTAAATCAGGATTTGATGTTGGCGATGGGACCAGTGTTCTAATTCTTCTTAATGCTGTGAAAGTGGTTCAGATCTTGGCTTTGTGGAGGCCAGTTAAGCTCTTACCACACCAGAGTAAACTATTTAATTATGGACCTCACTTTGTGCACCAATGTTAGAAAAGGGCTCTCCCAAAACTGTTGTAACAAACAGGAAGCAAACAATTCTCTAAAACATCATGATATAACCCTGTTAATTAGAAGGGGGTGGCCACATATTGTGTCGCGCACCCTAAAAGGCCATGAATAGACCATAAACAGCAGGTATCTCACCTGAAAAAAGGTGAGCTCATAATCATTGAGGACACCATTGTTGTCCAAATCTGACACCTTAAAGATTCGTGTCAATGCTCGAACACAGGCAGACCTCATCTGTGAACGAAAAAAACACAGTTTTTTTTTTAAAAACTTAAACTTCACATACATGAAGTACTGTATGGTTTAAGCAACTACATATTAAAATGTATTCATACACATGAACATTCGTACACATTCATACACAAGAGGTGTGCAGACCTCTTTCTTCTCTGGACAGTAGAGTGGCCCTGTAGGGTGAAGAACAGCTTTCTGTGCATAGTAAAACAACTCTGAAATATTCTTCAGATTCTTGGCTGAACACTATAAAAAGAGGTGGAAAAGATGCAAATTAAACATTAAAACCCTGGTTTCACAGACAAGGCTTAGATTAAGCCAGGAGTAGACCTTCAATTTAGTTAGATTTAAAACATTTAAAGGTATAGTTCACCCAAAAAAAGAATAATTTGTCAATTAAAACCAGACAGTTGATGGTAGCCATTGATTTCCATAATACTTATTTCAATGGATACCGTCAATTGTCTGGTTACCAACTTTCTTTAAAATATATTTTTTTTCTGTTCAACAGAAGAAAGAAACTCATGCAGGTTTGGAACAACATGAGGGTGAGTAAATTAAGACAATTTTCATTTTTGGGTGAACTATCCCTTTAAGTAGCTTTTATAAACATTCCTTAGAAAAATACTTTATGGGTGTGCATCTTGAAACAAAACAATGGCACTAACATATTTTGAGATATGCCAGTGGAAGATGCTTTCAGTTACGACAGCTCAAACATCCCTTTTAGTCTGGGACTAGGCTTAAGCCTTGTCTGTGAAACCAGGCATAAATGTTATACACAGTCAAAGAAAATACAGGATTTGTTTTTTATCTGAGCGATTTAAACTTCCAGATAAGATTAAGTGCTTTGCAAATCCGACAACTAGAGGCTTGATTAACAAAATTGCAGTATAAATTCCTACAGTGAAGCGTAAGGAATTCACCTACAACCAGACAAATAGCAACAGAGATTTTTCCAAAAGAGGTGAAATTGCCTGTGCCACGTTAAACCCACAAAGTTCAATAGTTAAAAAACATAAATGAATACAGTTCAAATCTTTAGATCTCACTTGACCATAGACCATTTATGTACACCCCCTTTTTTTACCATCAATTACTTTCTTATACAGGTCCTTCTCAAAAAATTTGCATATTGTGATAAAGTTCATTATTTTCCATAATGTAATGATAAAAATTAAACTTTCATATATTTTAGATTCATTGCACACCAACTGAAATATTTCAGGTCTTTTATTGTTTTAATACTGATGATTTTGGCATACAGCTCATGAAAACCCAAAATTCCTATCTAAAAAAATTAGCATATTTCATCCAACCAATAAAATAAGTGTTTTTTATACAAAAAAAGTCAACCTTCAAATAATTATGTTCAGTTATGCACTCAATACTTGGTCGGGAATCCTTTTGCAGAAATGACTGCTTCAATGCGGCGTGGCATGGAGGCAATCAGCCTGTGGCACTGCTGAGGTGTTATGGAGGCCCAGGATGCTTCGATAGCGGCCTTAAGCTCATCCAGAGTGTTGGGTCTTGCGTCTCTCAACTTTCTCTTCACAATATCCCACAGATTCTCAATGGGGTTCAGGTCAGGAGAGTTAGCAGGCCAATTGAGCACAGTAATACCATGGTCAGTAAACCATTTACCAGTGGTTTTGGCACTGTGAGCAGGTGCCAGGTCGTGCTGAAAAATGAAATCTTCATCTCCATAAAGCTTTTCAGCAGATGGAAGCATGAAGTGCTCCAAAATCTCCTGATAGCTAGCTGCATTGACCCTGCCCTTGATAAAACACAGTGGACCAACACCAGCAGCTGACATGGCACCCCAGACCATCACTGACTGTGGGTACTTGACACTGGACTTCAGGCATTTTGGCATTTCCTTCTCCCCAGTCTTCCTCCAGACTCTGGCACCTTGATTTCCGAATGACATGCAAAATTTGAGCAACAGTCCAGGGCTGCTTCTCTGTAACCCAGGTCAGGCGCTTCTGCCGCTGTTTCTGGTTCAAAAGTGGCTTGACCTGGGGAATGCGGCACCTGTAGCCCATTTCCTGCACACGCCTGTGCACGGTGGCTCTGGATGTTTCTACTCCAGACTCAGTCCACTGCTTCCGCAGGTCCCCCAAGGTCTGGAATAGGTCCTTCTCCACAATCTTCCTCAGGGTCCGGTCACCTCTTCTCGTTGTGCAGCGTTTTTTGCCACACTTTTTCCTTCCCACAGACTTCCCACTGAGGTGCCTTGATACAGCACTCTGGGAACAGCCTATTTGTTCAGAAATTTCTTTCTGTGTCTTACCCTCTTGCTTGAGGGTGTCAATGATGGCCTTCTGGACAGCAGTCAGGTCGGCAGTCTTACCCATGATTGCGGTTTTGAGTAATGAAATAGGCTGGGAGTTTTTAAAAGCCTCAGGAATCGTTTGCAGGTGTTTAGAGTTAATTAGTTGATTCAGATGATTAGGTTAATAGCTCGTTTAGAGACCCTTTTCATGATATGCTAATTTTTTGAGATAGGAATTTTGGGTTTTCATGAGCTGTATGCCAAAATCATCAGTATTAAAACAATAAAAGACCTGAAATATTTCAGTTGGTGTGCAATGAATCTAAAATATATGAAAGTTTAATTTTTATCATTACATTATGGAAAATAATTAACTTTATCACAATATGCTAATTTTTTTAGAAGGACCTGTACATCCCTGACTTTGCCTTGCAATTTACACTCCACTTAAATTTTTCGAAGTTTTTTTTTTATTGTCATGCCCTTGGAATTAATTGATTTTACTGGAATCCACACAACATTCAGACTATAATCTGAATGCACATGACCTAGCTGAAACATTCTAAGACTGAACTGAAAACACTTAAAGACTGTTTCCAACAACTGGAGCAGATTTTAAACACCGACTGAACGCAACTGTATCTGACTTAGCGTGTTTGGGCATGATCAGTCGTAAGTAACAAATTACATCCATAATCGGCCTTACAGTCGTTAAGTGTGTCCCCGCTTTAGGAGACATTCAGCTGCTCAGCACACAAATAAATATGAGTATGCATGGTTTGGTAACGCTTCCTTTTACAGTCCTGTTACCCATGTACATACTATGTACTTATTATAGTAATTACAATTACTGGGTAATAACTAGGTACTAACCCTGAACCTACCCCTAAACCTACCCCTAACCCATGTACTTACCTTATATTAGCCAGTACTTTCTAGGTAAGTACAATGTAAGTACACGTAAGTACTGTACTGTAAAAGGAAGCGTTACCCATGGCTCGACATACCTCCACACAAGTCTCTATCTCTGTGTATTTGTTCATGATGGGAAGGACAGTCTCCATACTGCTGTGTTCAACCAGATCAGATTTATTCCCCACAAGGATCAGAGGAACCCTTAAACACACACACACACACACACACACACACACACACACACACATAAACACAAACAGCTTCTGGCTATTTTTAGTATACCATAGACCGGGGGTGTTATTGTACACAGTGCCAAGAATTTCAAGTCAGCATCAAATGAAAATTCAGACTTACTATCTGTTTTCTAAATGCATGTTATAGATATTATTGTGATAATATCATTCATCAGATATTATTCTCCCGCACCCTCCCCCACACTTTGAGAACAACTGACTTAAACCCTGACCCAACAAGTACGCATTCATCTGCCTCCTTTTATTAGTGCACTTCAAAATCCAATCAACAACCAATGCATAGAACCAAGTCCCCACTCTTCATTTTTATTTTTTTAATAATATTTTACTGCTACTGCTACTAATCTGCTACTATTTCCATGTCATTTTGACGTTAAGCAATACCAAAGTACGAGAGGCTGTGCAACCAAGAATATAAAGGACGTTGTTTATTTTATTTTATTTTTAGCTACTGCCCATTTGAATGTGAAATAACCAACAGAAACTCAAAGTTTGGCAAACTTTGGGCATCATTCATAAAATACGGCTTTTTTTAAAAAGTATTAGTAAAACTGTTCTGACGTAAATTTTCAGATTCATTCCTTGTTTGTATTTTCAAAATGTAAGCTGGCACTAAACTGACCACACATAAATTGTGTGTAAAGCATCAGAATGTTGTTCTCTTAGGCAAACTGATGACAATGCATTCTGATAACATCATTTACCATAAAAATATATAATACAATTATTAGTTAACCAATTAGTTCAGTGTGAAAAATAAATTTCAATGATAAACATAAATGAATAAAAACTGCCACGTAGTCCACTTTCCTTTTTATTATAGTTTACTATTAATCTGAGCACCAGTAGTGTTTACTGTAATGGTATATATCTTGGTCTCTTTTCTATTTATGCAATATACTGGAGCCAAATGTGAGAAAGGAGTTCAGAAGATCATCCCATCAGAAGATAATACCAGCGGATACCTACCTGCTATCTTTGTCTGTTCTCTCATTTATCAGGGGAATCCAGTGACTTGTCACCTGTGACAATAACATTATTTTCAAAATCTGAAAGCTATAGAAAGACCTGTTCACACCAAGGATGATAATTATAACGATAACTATAAAGATTTATTAATCATTTTAATTATATCAAAATCCACACCACAACTGTAACAATAACAGCAGAGAGGAACAATATTGTTATAATCACTTTCAGAATGATTTTTTACCAGCCGACGAATGATAAAACATTGACAGCCAACCAGAATCCACTTTAAAGAGCTTGAGCATTTAAAGTGGCATACAACATAACTGCAGCATAACTAGTTATAATAAATGAGTTGGTGTGGACGCTAATACAGTTATATATCTTCATAGGTATTCTTCTTGATGTGAACTGGTCTTTACTTGTACCATATAAGAGCAAATAAAATATAAAATTGTAAATTGAATGTCAAATATGTAAATTGTAGTATCAGACAGATTTGGAAATCATGGATCAAATTACTGATTATTCTAATGAACGATTAAGTTATTCTGACTTACAGCATGAAGACTAGATTCTATAATCAAGTTTTCTCACCTTCTCAATAGACTTCTTGTTGTTCACGGAGTAGACTATACATATAACATTGGCCTAAAAAGGGACGCAAATATAATTTCTCTGAAAATATCAATGAAAAAAAAAAAAAAAATCACTGAGTGTTGTGAATCCACATCTTACCTTTGATATCTCTTGATACAGTTGTTCATCTGTCTGTTCAGCTTCTGTGCATATTTAAAAAAAAAAAAAACATTGTTATCTCCTCTCCATTCAATAATAATAATAAAAATATTTACTAAAAATAAAAAAAGTTAGTTAATTTTAAATTTTAAAAAGACAGAGGTTATTTGCACTAAGTGCACAGAGCAATAGAGGCTATTTACAGTAAGTTTAAATAGCAAAATAATTGTATTTTTGTGTAAATACTAATAGTTTTAAATGTTATTTATGCATAGAGCAAATAGTGACAGAAACAGTGTAACCTTGTATTTTATAAAACATTATGCATTAATAGCAACATCTTCTGTTTATATATTATATTTATATTTAAGTAATAAATGGATGCTGCCTTATTGAAAACGTATTTGTCCCTATCCCTGAAGTCATCCCCTTACACAAACCCCTAAAGTAGCCTTTGCCACAAGATGGGCTACTGGCAGTATTTGCTGTGCTAGCTGTACAGTGTAAATAGACACTCCAAAAGAAAGTCAGTAATGTTGTGCTTTTGCTATCATAAAATCAATCAATTTATCAGTATCGACCAGTGAACTTTAGTATCTAATTAAATTGCTGGTTTAATACCTGAGTAGTCTACTATATGAGTGGGGACTCTCTCTGGTGTGACATCTGCTGGTATAGTGATTTCCTCAGCTCTATAAGGAACCTATTATGACAAAAACATCCATACTACTGACTGACACCAAACACTGTTGACACTGTTGCAAATAATAAAGTCAGAAAAATCATTTTTACAGAGACTGTAATGGTAATAATAATACCTACCACAGCCGGGAACTCCTCACTGACCAATGACATGATCAGGGATGTCTTCCCCACTTTGGCTGTTTATACACAGACAAATAAAAGAGCATTACCGATTTCCTCATCTCCACAGATCAACCCTGAAATCCTTAATGTAACCTAGACACGAGAATTCCTCATGCAATTTTAATTTATATTTTAGTGGGGACTGGGGATGTCCTTTCATAATGTTACAGGCTACCAGGTCTAAAGCCAGATGAAACCCTCTTGTGGTCATAAAACTCATAAATAAGTTAACAGAGATCAGATAGGCAAATACATTTGAGTTTGGCAAGCTACAATATTTACCAACCTTTTGCATTCCATAAAAAAACCTGTCACAGCTAAACCTATCCTTCCTTTTATTGTAAACAGGTCTTCATGGACCACAACATATATTGTCAATGTTATAGGAGTCAGAACCCTTAAAGGGATAGTTCACCCAAAAATGAAAATTCTGTCATCATTTACTCACCCTTATGTTGTTCCAACCCTGTATGAGTTTCTGTTGAAGGTAGCCATTGACTTCCATAGGAAATACTAATGGAAGTCAATGGCTACCATCAACTGGTTACCAATACCATCATTCTTCAAAATATCTTCTTTTGTATTTAACATAAGAAAGAAACTCATACATGTCTGGAACAACATTAGGGTGAGTAAATTATGACAGTATTTTCATTTTTTGGGTGAACTATCCCTTTAAGTTATTATTTTTACACATTGTATTTTGCAAATGCTGACAACCTAGATATCATTCTGTAAACCTAGTGAGCAGCCTAGTGCCTACCAAGAAAACCTTCTGTAAACCCAGTGAGATGGCTACCAATACAGTTTTTGTAAAAGATAGTGGGGTCTGCTTAGACAAAAAATCTATGTAGTCCAGTATGGTAATGGTAACACTAACACAGACTGAAACGGGCACGTAAAGATGCTCAAAAGCGTTGACTTAATACTGTAGGAAGTGCACTAACCCTCTCATCTTGTTACATATTGTCATGCATAAATCGAACCAAATGTGTCTATGTGCAATGTTATTGTTATGAAGCCATGCGCTGTCATTACAAGAGCAGGTTATAACAGCCTGCAGTGACGGTACAGTAACCTTGTCATCAGACAAAACTGCGATTTCATGTTACAATGCAACAATTTCAAACATTTCTATCACCTATAAGCGAAAAGTGTAAATGTTGATTTCATTATAAGTTTCACTTATTTTAAGGTTACGGTCGTTTCGTAACAAACAAGGACACCATCCCATTAATAAGAGACTTACGTTCTCCAACCAGCAGAATCCTCACGTCTTTTCGCATATTTCCCACTTCTGAAGTCAAGTCGCATTTACCCGTTTATAATCGTCAGGATTTTACAGGCGTTCACAGCAATCCACATCTAACTTCACAATAAATAAGCGTGGCATTATGTAAAAGTCAAAACAAGTTTATTTTTAAAATTATGAGGCGATACGACGTTTCTAGATGATATAAACATCAGTATTGGTATTTATGCAGAGGATTCACTCAGCGCGGCTGTTAACTGGTGTAGATGTAACGCACACACGCCCCCTTCTGACCTCCAACATGCCTACGGGTCTCACAAAGGGACAAACTATGCAAGTCAAAAGAAGACGCAAGATTCTTCAGTTTTAAAATAGTAGTTGTTAGTTGAAAATAACCATTTACACATGGTTTCAAGATACATTCCACCGAGAACCTTTTGTGTCATTGAGTGAGATTACAGTATATTAAACAATTAAAAGTACATTTACATTACATGTAGTTATTTATCCATTAACCTTTATCCAAAGCGTCCAAACACACAAAAAAGACAAAAACAATATCTTAAATGAGCCAACAGTATTACCCAACCAATATGACAAATAAAAAGAATAGAAATAACCAGGAAAGCACCAAAATGGTGTTGAGTGGTTTTATATTGTGTGTATATGTAGCAACCTATTTATTTATTTTCAAAAAATGTCAGGTCACCTTTATTTATATAACACTTTACAAAGCAGCTTTACAATGATAAAGAGAAAATGATTCAATGATGAAAACAAAGTTAATTCCGGCTGTACAGCAGCTCTAAAAGAAAATAGTGTCATTGTTCAACTGAAGTCAGTTCAGTGTTGATTCAGTTCCGTTATCATCAATTGTTAAATTAGTTCATTTTATCTATAAAGCAGTTCTGCAGAAAACAGTGATGTCATAGTCCAGCTCAGTTCAGTTTTCATAGTGTCAGTGCAGTCAAATCAATAATATTGTTGAACAGTAAATGTCCCCAACATTCATTCATGTATTTAATTTAATCAGATTTAAGCTTATTTTTTTATTATTATTATTTTTAATCAGGGACGATGGAGAGAAATGAAGCTGGCTGAACAAGGCAAAAAGGGCATTCTTTGGTCCTAGAATATTTATGGTTGTGTAATGCTAAGCGGTTAAATACCAGAAACCAAATGAGATTACACAGGTATGTAATGAAAAAAGTTAAATACAATTCAAGATTCCTTTTTTTATATATATAGGACATATAAATAGGATACTTTGTAAGCAAAATGGAGTATATAAGCTATTGTAAAGGAAATGTTAAAGCATTTTGACATTTCGACAACCCATAAAGCCAGACGACAGGTCTGAGAGGGCCAGTGAAATTAATGTGGAAACTGTGTAATTCAAGCAGGCTATCATCCAGACTATGAAAGCACAGCTGTCCTTTTGCCATGTCCAGAATAACTCTGATCCCGTTAAGGACACTATGCTTAACAGGGGTCTTTATATTATTGTGACAAGCACTCAGTTGCCTACAGCTCCACTCCAAACACCAAGATGAGGAAGTTCTTCCCAAAATCTCATTACGCATCAGAGTGGGATACGCCACCCCAACGGCCCATCCAGTGCTGCGTGTGGTGTCCACGTCCCAGTAAAACCACCCTCCTGTGAATTCCTGCATCGCCATCCACTGACAGGCATCAAAGCGCCCATGTGAAGTTCTAACTTGGGGCCCTGGTTGTGTTGCCATTGTACGGCTTTCTGTATGAAAACCCAGCCTTCGGTTTCCCAGGTGGGGAGAGAAGGAAAGCTCAACAAACTTTGGATGAACAGCAGCTTGGAGAGAGGGAGAGACATTTAAGTGAGAACATGAATATCACCAACACACATTATTTAGTCAAACAAGCATGAAAATCACTGTTAGCATAAAAACATTACCCTCAGCACCGTCGCTGTTATGATGCTGTGCTCCTGCACTGAGAGTTAGATCAGCATCTTCAGACAGATAGACTGGATCCTCTTCTACAATCTCCTGAGAACTCTCCTGAGAGAGATTAGGTTTTTGACAATCAGCCTCTTTCCACATCAAATTTAACAAGATCCCTAAATCACTAGCCAGTACATGTACTTGCTGGGCTGGTGTAATTTGATGAAAATACTTTGGTTCCAAAACCTCTCATTTAGACATCTCGTAAAACCATAATGGGTCTCATTCACATGCGTTCACACATAATTCATCATGAATAATCTATACATTTGTACATTCACTACCATTTAAGAGTTTGGGCGAGTAAGACGTTTTTGAAACAAGTCTCTTATGCTCAACCAGGCTGCATTTATTTGATAAAAAAATAAAGTAAAAACAGTTCTATTACTGAAATATTATTACAATTTAAAATAAATGTTTTCTGTTTTAATATATTTTAATATGTTTGTATACTAATATATTTTAATAGTTTTTTTTCCCCTGTCATGGCAAAGCTGCATGTACCATAGAAATGAATGAGAAATGCTGTAAACTGAATTCTATCTGCTGCAAAATTGTCTGTGACTACTCTAATAAAACAGCATTTTTTCAGTTTCAGTAACACGAGCTCTGTAGCACGCACAACGAGACTACGGTAACTATAAAGCAACATAGTCTTTATTCAAGATTCTTAACACTCTGGAGCAATAAGGGAGAACGTATGAAACTAGCAAACCACATAAACGTCAACGAACAATGAAAAGAAAACGAAAAAGAACTCGAGGCTTAAATACACACAGGTGTAATTAACATGACAAGAAACATGTGCGTAACTCAATCTGAAACCATGGAGACAAACAAGCAAAGGTAACACAGGCAAACAGGAACAGAACAGAACAGAACCAAACTAAAACACACCGGTGTAAACTCTAAAAATAGATCTATCCAAAACGAATGTTTAATGGCAAACATGTTGAAAATTATAGCTGATGTAGGCTGTAGATTCAATAAATGATAAGCTGTTTTCCCACTTTTCTTTTCCTCCATTGACATCCATTAAAAAAAATTGCATCTGGTCTCCTTCCCTGCATACAGGGGTGTTACGCTTTTTTTGCTAACCTTGGAGGCTTACCTTAGAGCGGATTTGTCCAAAATCTCAAATATGTGTGTAAGATAAAAGAGACATCAAAAATGTGTAGTATTGGGGGTACATAAACTTTTTTTTTTGTGTTTCAACTGGTTTTGAAAATTACATACTTGGCTTTTCTCGAGATTTACTCGAAGATCAAAGTGTCTATGATATCAAAATGTAGCTTTTGCACCTGTAAGACTGGAAAAATTGGAAAAACTGATTGAGGAACTACCACTCTTCGACTGGACAAAGGGACCTTGCTGAAAATTAACATTTGAACTCCCTCATCCCCCATGCAGGGATTACCCAAACTCACACAAGAATCTAGATGGTTTAAATGGTGAATGATTATCATCGAGTATTATACATATGTTTAGTATCATTTGAAATGTCTCAGTGCGACTGGTACAAATGTCTCATTTCCAAATAAGTAAAACTAAAGGTAATAAGGTTTTTAAGAGTCTAGAGATAACATACACACAAAGGAGGGTGGATGGGTAAACCCTCCTACTCTCAGAAGGTGTTAACTCAATACTAATTCCCACTGTTAGCAAATGGTACCATGTAAATCAACTTCTGCCCCCAGTATGTCGGGTTCGTCTTCTCTTTATTCCAGAACATTTGATGTTTTGTATTGATTATCTTTGAACTGATGATAAATTTACCTGACATAATAAATTGTTACATTTGATGATTCTAACTGACTTTGATATTATTTCATTAGAGTTAAAAGGAATTAGTCAAACTTTCGCTTATATTTAATGATGCACAGATATCATTAAAAACCTTTTCATTTATGGTGGAGTCAGATGAAATAACGAGAGAATACATATGAAAAATGTATTGCATTTAATCAAAATACTTTGCCACGAGAAAAGACAGTAATACGGTACGCAGAGTCCTTCACCCGCTGATCGGATGCCGGATTTTGGACCGATCGAGCCAGGCTTTACACACCCGTTATATATAAACTGAAATTTTGAGAAAACAAGTGACACTTGTATAGAATTATTTGTGAATTATTAGTGAATGAGACCCAATAGGTTTTTGCTTTAAAGGTGCTGTATGTGAAATGTATGGAATGGCTGTGGCTGCCATCACGTCATCCAGTAGATGCTGCACGCTGGTTGAGGAGAGACCCCTGATCCCATTGTAAAGCTCTTTGAGTATACAATAGTATCTAAAAGCAGAAGCACTATATATATTATTCATTCATTCGTTCATTCATTCAATGGTATGATGAAAAAAATTCAGCACCATCACCACAGAAGATAAAAGACAATATTTGTGATAAATTTACCTATGAAGTTTTTAAATTTGAGATGTGCCAATCTGTCAACAACAGCTTAAATACATCTTAAAAGCGAATGCAAAAGAAGGAAGATGTATGTGAACATCGGTAAAGCTTTTGATGAAGGGAGCTGAGATCCACAAAGTACATGCCGATCTTGCTTTGCGGGATGTAGAAAAGGGGCTGTGGCTTTTCTAGAGTCGCGGAAGCTCTAGAACGGCTAACATCACAAACAACACCTTTCATTTACATATTTAAATGTTATGTAGCGTTTTCCCACATGGAGAACTGTAGCCTACACATAAATACAAACATAATGCTCTTTGTGGGCCATCCTCAGAGTCCTCATGTAAAGTGCAAACTTATTGTTACAGTTACAATCGTATATCTTAAGAAACCAAAGGTGCTGTACCGTACTGTACCGAGAAGATTGTTCCTGATGATCCCCTGATGCCAGACTAAAACTTCTGTCAGCATAAGTTGAAGCATCACTGTCAATAGATGAGCTGGAAACATCCATCGGAACAGCCGAGGAATCAAAAAACCCATCCTGAGTTATACAAAATTAATTCATTATTTCTTAAGATTTATTTATAGTACATGTGCACATTTGAAAGTAGGCTACTAAGCTACACATTACCTCACATGCCTGATTTGAGTTTAGTTCAGCTGAAAGTGAATCCTCTGTCTTTTTCATCTCAGTATTTAACCAATCCAGGTGTTTCATTAAACTATCCTATAGAGCAAGCAGTTGAAGTAAAAGTTAGAATCGTTTTAAATTTAGCACAGACACACTTGCCCTGAGGTGTTTGTGTGTGTGTGCGCGCGGACATGAGCTGTACATGAGTGTGAGCAACATCAGTTCTTTGTTGTAACACAATAACCCAATAATGTTTTTTTCTTCAACCAGCAATTTAGGTTAAAATCAAATAGTTCCCTACAGGAAAGTGCCTGCTTAAACCAGCCTATGCTGTTTCCTGGGTTAAGGTTTTCTTCCCTGGCCAGGTGAAAGGTGCCCAAAACCAGGCAACAGACCAGCCATATTTATACCGCTTTACCTCTATATTCAATATTATATTGTTTCATTATGCTGTTTGATAAGATAAATCTATGAACTTGATCAAATTAAGACCATGAACTTGCCACTTTTGTAATAGTTCTCCCAGCGTGTTGAGGTCTATAGTCTTGATCTGTTTCTGTCAGAATTTGCTCCCACCTCTCGCGACCACCAAGCTCCTGTAATTCCAGTATGTCACACAGAGTAAAGTTAATTTCTGGTTTACTGCTTATATCTGTCCGGCACTGTGGGCAATCTCTCTTTGCGCCGCTAACGTTACGTGACCAATATTCATTGATGCATTTCAGACAATGGTTATGCCCACAAACTAGTGTAACTGGCTTTGTGAAAATGTTAAAACATATCAAGCATTTAAGATTATTCGCGACGAACTTCACAATATCCTCATATGATGCCGACATCATGCCAACAATTTTCTTTGGAATCGAAACTGAAACTCCACGCATACCGGTAGCTTTGTTTTCTAGGCAAAAGAGTTCATTCGTAGTCGGAACCAAAATCACACGTGCCATGTTTCCTCACGAACCCTTAACTTCGGACCTCTGAGGGCAACGCATTCATATGCAATATAAACACTGAGCTGTGGCAATCGATCAAACATGTGGGTAGCGAAACGCCTTCTGTCCTCTATCGTCCTCAAAGGTAATAATAACACATGTAAAGATATTAGGTATGAAATTCAATAAGACCTAGTCATTGTGATGCCAATCACAAGGATAGTGTCTTGCAGATCATCATATCTTTTTGGATTATCAATTGCTCTAATTTAATTTGAAGTGTAGAGTTATATACACCGTTAAGAATTTTACTTGAATTTATTTGTATTTGTTGAATACATTTTTCAGTTGGGGCTTAAAATACAATGACTAATTCAGAAAATATTGATTTAACTGTACTGATGCGTTTGAGAACCAAAAAAACTTACACGGAATTGAGCTGGTTATAATGACACTATATCCTTCTGTAGAGCTGCTTTATAGCTTAAATTGAAGTCCCTAAATAAATGATCAACATTGTCTTTGTTATTTTCCTGTTTGATTATTTTCTGACTAAACCATTCATTGATTGCAGGGGAATACAGTCTGTTCTGTCGTCCTCCTAGCTCCTTGCCTGAATATGAGCTCAGATTCTTGCACTGCACCTTTTGCAGAAGGAGCAGAATAATGGTGTCTGGGTTCGACACCCTCAATGCATCCATTTCCTCTGAATTGTGCCAAGAAAACGACAAACCCCTGGACTCATGTTATACGACAGAGCAGCGTGCTGTCATCCTCCAGCACCTCAATACAGCTACAGAGTCAGAACTGGCACAGGTCAAACTGCTGCGAGGACGGAAGGCTGTCAACATCATCGACTACAGAACCAGACATGGACCGTTCAACAGTCTGGAGAGTGTCATTAATGTACCCTTACTGAAACACAAGAGTGCTGTCATAGTCTTTGACTCTATCCTCAAACCAGCTGAGAGGAAGGAGAGGAAAAAGGGAAAAGTCCATCTGGCTAAATTTATAAGACCTGAGGTTGACCGAGCTTTCTTGGAGGTGAGGCAGTTTTTCTAAACCACTATATTTAATAGCTTTTGTGAATGAAGAATTTTATGCTATGTTTTGTTCTTGAATGTCTTGCAGGATGCAAGCTCTATTGTGTCCATTGTTTGTGGCACTAATAAAATTGCATGGACACACATGGATCGGGTGAAAACTGTCTTAGACTGGCAGCAAGCAGAGTGCAAGAGCTTTATGAAAGGAACGTACATGGCATCAGATTATTTGAACGATGTGAGTTTCTAAATTTTGTTTTTTGTTCATTTATTTGAGATTTAACAGTATCTAGGTTTAATATTCAAATTTTTGCATATTCTTTTGAGAAGGTAAACCAGCAACCCTTGTGGATTGAAGAAAATGTAGGGTTCTAGGGACTAGGATCTTCTATGCATTGATTGTTGATTGGATGGAGGCAGATATGAATGCATAGCTTGCAGTTGATAGTAAGATAGGGGTGGGGTTTATCCAGACAAAATGATTGGAGAAATAATTGGAGATATATTCTTTTTTTTTTACTAATTACAAGGTCAACAAATGAACAAAAAAATGTCATGCATGCATGGATAAATACACTCACCGGCCACTTTATTAGGTACACCTGTCCAACTGCTCGTTAACACTTAATTTCTAAGCAGCCAATCACATGGCGGCAACTCAGTGCATTTAGGCATGTAGACATGGTCAAGACAATCTCCTGCAGTTCAAACCGAGCATCAGTATGGGGAAGAAAGTTGATTTGAGTGACTTTGAACGTGGCATGATTGTTGGTGCCAGAAGGGCTGGTCTGAGTATTTCAGAAACTGCTAATCTACTGGGATTTTCACGCACAACCATCTCTAGGGTTTACAGAGAATGGTCCGAAAAAGAAAAAACATCCAGTGAGCGGCAGTTCTGTGGGCGGAAATGCCTTGTTGTTGCCAGAGGTCAGAGGAGAATGGCCAGACTGGTTCGAGCTGATAGAAGGGCAACAGTGACTGAAATAACCACTCGTTACAACCGAGGTATGCAGCAAAGCATTTGTGAAGCCACAACACGCACAACCTTGAGGCGGATGGGCTACAACAGCAGAAGACTCCACCGGGTACCACTCATCTCCACTACAAATAGGAAAAAGAGGCTACAATTTGCAAGAGCTCACCAAAATTGAACAGTTGAAGACTGGAAAAATGTTGCCTGGTCTGATGAGTCTCGATTTCTGTTGAGACATTCAGATGTTAGAGTCAGAATTTGGCCTAAACAGAATGAGAACATGGAACCATCATGCCTTGTTACCACTGTGCAGGCTGGTGGTGGTGGTGTAATGGTGTGGGGGATGTTTTCCTGGCACACTTTAGGCCCCTTAGTGCCAATTGGGCATCGTTTAAATGCCACGGCCTACCTGAGCATTGTTTCTGACCATGTCCATCCCTTTATGGCCACCATGTACCCATCCTCTGATGGCTACTTCCACCATGTCACAAAGCTCTAATCATTTCAAATTGGTTTCTTGAACATGACAATGAGTTCACTGTACTAAAATGGCCTCCACAGTCACCAGATCTCAACCCAATAGAGCATCTTTGGGATGTGGTGGAACGGGAGATTCGCATCATGGATGTGCAGCCGACAAATCTGCGGCAACTGTGTGATGCCATCATGTCAATATGGACCAAACTCCCTGAGGAATGCTTCCAGCACCTTGTTGAATCTATGCCACGAAGAATTGAGGCAGTTCTGAAGGCAAAAGGGGGTCCAACCCGTTACTAGCATGGGGTACCTAATAAAGTGGCCGGTGAGTGTAGTTCACAATAAGATAGAACTGCACGATTAATCGTTAAAAGATCACAATCTCGATTCAAACACCCTCCTATTTAGGGAGTTTTTAATTTTAGCACGATTCGTCAATATCTATTAAACCTTTGACAAGTACGATCTAGGGCTGTCAATCTTCCTCTATAATACTATTCGAATTCCATTCCTTGTTTTATTTAATATTAGAATAATATTCGAATATTAAATGCTCAAATTCATCCTATTATTAATATTTACGACATTACTCAGGCTTATGGATCGCCAATGCCACTATAGCATGTGGTTGTTGTTACACGTTCTGTCCACTAGAGGGACATCTAACATTACAATAAACATTTTATTCACGCTGAATATGGTTGAAGCGCTTCCGATGGTTTTCGGCTAATATCTCCGAAAACACCACCAAACATTCTGAAACTTATATCGTTCTTTTCAGTTCGACTAGACGGTTCCAGCGAGTTTGGTGCTCACTGAATCCGTTGAGTATTCGCCAAGATATTTGCGCTTCACGGGCGCTTTTTTACGTCGTTAAACATTTACCATTTTTGACAGTATTGTTATGATGATCAACGTGTATAACGTGCACAATTGTGTTACGATTCAAAAACTTTATTGTTCATCAGACGAAACAAAAGCATTTCATTTTCACATGCGTGTAAGCCAAGGTGGTGAGAAAGACAAGATTGCATTTAAAAAAAATAAAAATAAAAATATTCGAATAGTAACTTCAGCATTCGAATAGTATTGATTTTTTTAATATTCGAATTATATTCGAATTTTGGAATTCGTTCCAACAGCCCTAGTACGATCACAGCAAACATTCAGATCTGTGTTGCCGCTGATCCAGAGAGAGAGCAGTTGTCATGAACAGTATGGGTATGGAACCGTTTCACAAACAGTCTTTTCAACCACACAGGATCATTATGTGTTACATTACTGGGATAAAAGTTTATAATTTGGATATAAACACTGATGTCTACGTTTGCGATCAAAATAGAGTAAATCACCTTTTGAAAGTAACTTGATGCTTTAAATAAAGATTGTATCAATTACATCGCTAGTATCGCTACACTAGTATGTGGCGACAATCGACTGTTGAAAACATGTATTTCTCATTGAATCATTTGAATTGAAAATTGATATGGGATACAACTGGAATATGGTGGAGGAGTTGTAGCTGGCATTATGTCGGCGGGATTGTCTGGTTGTTGTGGTCTTGTCTGAGGATATGTGCTGAGGGCTGTCTTGTCAATGAGGACTCTAGGGCTCGTCTAGTTGTTGTGTTCTTTGCTGACATTCAGGGCTGAGTTGTGGTTTTCTCAGGGTGCAGGTCTACAATCTGGTCTGGATACGGACCAGATCCTTTTGACTGTGGTAACCTTGGGATAAGGATGAAAATGAAAGACTAATATACTGTAGAAGATACCATTCCTCTTATGATGTAACAAGTACATTGGAGGTTATTGGAAGTATTTCTGATTCAGGTTGACCTAATTCATGCAGCCTAACAATTTGAATTATAAAAATGTGATCCTAACGTTATCCGTTTGTTAGGTTAAGTAAGTATGCTTATTTTGAAGAATTCAGCCGTGTTTGTACATAATGTACAATAAAGGTTATTTGGCATCCAAAATGGGCAATTTTAACTTAAATTTTGTACCGTTAAGGTTTTGGCTTTATTTATTTTATTAATTATTTTTTATTATTAATTCTTCTGTCAACAAGAGTTGCTGGTTTAAATTTTGTTTAGTACTTACTTTCATGCACATTATTTGATCGTAGTTTTGCACTGGAATAACCAATTTGAATTAGAGTGTATTTTCTTTGTCAACCACAGATATCTACTGTTCTTTCAAGCTTTCCTGCTGCTGACTTTTTTGTGGTGGAGAAGCCAAGCATCTCTCCCCAGAATACTTCTCTTTATCCAGTCATGGTCCATCTCCGGACAGTAGAGGCCATGCTATTTGCTTTACTCACTTCAGCGAGGGAACCGGGAAGCCCTCCCAAAGTCCTTAACATGTTGCGCACAGCCATTGGCCGCCATTTCGACCTAATAGTGGGAGATTGTCGGACAAGTGGAGCTGAGACAGTGAGGAAAATGATGACGGAGTCGGTGATGAAGCGAGACCCACGTGTTCTTTTCCCTCACGACTTGGTGTTAAAGCACAGGAACTCCTTTCAGATGAGCAGTAGGAATAGAGGGGAAGAGCTGTGTGATGCTCTTCTGCAAGCTGTTGCGTTTTTCGAACTCCTGCAGGAATAAATCGCTAATGGATGACTGTCTTATTTGTTGGATTTAATTAGCTGAGTGATTAAGCAAGTATCTTGAACATGACAAAGGATTTAAGTATTTTTGTTCCCCCAACTTTTAAACTGGACCAGGAGAAGCCTTATAAATTGAAATGCATTGCTCCACCTCTTTATCCACTAAGAGGCCCTTGGCCTGAGTTAAATCCCAAGGCTTGTAATCATAATTGTGTCGGTTTGATCCCCACAAAGAAAGAGCTGAGCTTGTGAGCAAGGCACTAAACCCCAGGTTGCTGCTCGAGGGGGAATGTGAACTGTCCAGTGGGAAAGTTTTTTTGGGATTAAAGAATCTATTAACCCTCTGGGGTTGTTCGGCCCAAATGGACCCGAATCATTCAAATAAAAAAATGTTAAAAATCACAGCTTCATCGGAATGGTCCGAAATTTGGTGACTTTGTTGGTATTTGGTATGTGAACACCCAAAAAAAATTGTCTAAGTGGTTGTAAAAAAAATAGTCACACTCAGGACCTTCGGGTCCAAATGGACCCCCATAGGAAATGAATGGGAAATTGGCAAAAATGTGAAAAAACAGTTTTTTGGGGCGTACAATCTACAAATCAGCCACAATCCATAAAAAAAGCACACAACAGTGAAGGGGAGAATCTATAAAACATCAAGAGTGCAAAACAGACACATCCACACACACACACACACACACTTTTATACACATACACACTCATAAATTCAGATTACTGTACATAAATCTGTTTTGAATTTTTAAAAATCACAGCTTAATCGGAATGTTACGAAACTAGGTGACTTTTATGGTATTAGGTATGTGAACACACAAAACAAATGGGGACAGGATCTGAATAGTCTAAGTGGTTGTAAAAAAAATAGTCAAACTCAGGACCTTCGGGTTCAAATGGACCCCGATAGGAAATGAATGTGAAATTGTCAAAAATATGAAAACACAGATTATTCAATATGAAAACACAGACTATTCAAATAGAATAGTCTATTTGAATAGTCTAAGTGGTTGTAAAAAAAATAAAAAAAATACTCACACTTAGGACCTTCGGGTCCAAATTGGAAATGAATGGGAAATTGTCAAAAATATGAAAACAGTTTTTTTGTGCATACAATATACAAATCAGCCAGAATGCAGAAAAAATGACTCAACGGTGAAGGGGTGAATCTCTAAAACATCAAGAGTGCAAAACAGACACACACACACACACACACACACACTGTATTATATATTTATAATAATCTGTATTATAAAGTAAAACTGGCACTTCAAATTACCATTTAAACCAACCAAACAAACAAAAAACAAGACAAAAATAGTCTTTGAGAATCTGTTATTATATTTTAAAAATCAACAACCTGAAAAAAAATTGGTATATATTTGCAAAAATCACTAGAATCCCCAAGCCTTTCTACAGAGAGCTGTAAATCCACTAGTGGTAAAAATGTGCTATTGCGTGATAAAAATGCTCAGTGTGTCCACCAGATGGCATCTATATTTTTTTAAAAATTGCTTTCATGAGGCCTAGGCTTCACTCTAAAATGTAATACAGCTTTGATAAAAATTTTTTTTTTTAAATAATAATAAAAAAAAAAATTCTATTATGTTCAATGGGAAAAAATGGGTCATAATTATTGCATAAATATTAATTATAAATCATAAAATATCTCAAAACACCAAAAAAGAAAAGAAGAAAAATTATAGAAAACAAGTAAAAAAAAAAAATTATGATTTTCTTTTTTAAAATATGAATCCTGCCCTTTGGGTCCATTTGGACCCGAACACCCCAAGTGTGACTGTTAAACGAACAACCCCAGAGGGTTAAAAAGAGTCAAGGTGATTTGTTGTAATTTTTCACATGAGAATGAATCAAAATATAGTGTCCCCTGAGCCAGTGTGGAAACATTTAACATATGACAGGCCTTTTCAAGCCCAACACATTAGACAACACACGATTAGACAAGGCATACATTTTGTAGAGGCAGGTTATTTTTTATATTTTTAAATGAAGTCTCTTATGCTCACCAAGGTTGAAATTTATTTGATTCAGTAAAAACAGTGAATACTGTGAAACATTACAATTTAAAATATTTGAATACATAAGATGGCAAAGTAACATTTCTTAATATAATTAAAAAGGTTATGCTTTTTAATATTTTTGTGGAAACTTTTTTTTCAGGATTTTTTGATGAATAGAAAGTTCAAAAGAGCAGTATTAATTTTTTGAAGTAGGATTTTTTGTAACAATGTAAAAGTCTTTACCGTCACTTTTGATTAATTTAATGCTTCCTTGTTGAATAAAAGCTGACCACAAACTTTTGAATGGTAGTGTAAACATACATAGTGGCCACAAATAAAAATGTATTCTATTAATTTGTTAAATGTAATATATATAAAATATCAAAACACAATGTTTAAAATATGAAGCAAGATTGTTGGACACATCAAATTTTGTGTAAAATGTTTATAGTTAATTTGATTAACTACACCAGTTGTTATTCTGCTGAAACGCCTGTGTGGATTTAAGGGGAACTGACTATAACATTCACAAATAACCTTGAGACCAGTTGGTTAAATATAAAGAAGTTGCCTCAAAACTAGTTAGTTTTGAGAAAAGCTATTTGTTTTGCATTATTTGTTTGCATATGGCACTTGGTTTGATGTTTAATATGTATTCAATGAAATTCAGACATTTTTAAATGTGATTTACTAAGTGTCCAAATACTTTTTGGAGTTACTGTATGTAATATGAATGGTACTGATGTGCATGACGACAACCATTATGTTCATTTGAGGTACTAGTGAAAATTCCCCACTGCTAATTAGTAAAATACATTTTTTAAAGTTATATATATATATATATATTTTTTTTCTTTATTTGACAAGAGTAAACTATCTTATATCAGACTTTACATATATATTTCTGTAATCATGTACAAACAAAAGTCACATTCCTGTCACAAAACAGTAAACAGTTTAGAAGTCATGGAGGTTTTCTGGAGCAGCACATTGGTCACACATCAAGGGAAATCCAAGGCCATAAGCTCCAGCGTGCTTCTGGGAAGCTGAAGGCTTGAGAGGTAGTGTGAATGTCTGACAGTGAGAGACAAAAAAGAGCAAATCTTAATCATTAAAAAAAAGATCACATTAAAGAATTTTTTCTTATTATAAAACAGAAATTTCCTTTCAAAGTATAACTTTAGAGTGGCACATTCATGAATCTTGAGACTCCAAGCTGTACATGGACCAAATTCAAATACCTGACCGAGTGCTGTTCTTTAACTCTCTCTGATCTACATATTGAGCGCAGAGTGGGCAGGTAGTCCATGGAAAGAGCAGGTTTATTACTATGACAAAAGACCTTTTTGCTGGAGATCAGTATGGATACAATTTCCTTGCGCTTCTGGACACCACTGTAAAAAAAAAAGAAGTCAAAATCACATACCACATGATATTAGCACACTGCCACACACGGATGAAGATAAAGCTTCATGTAAACATTTAATACAACACACACCTAGGTGCACAGAATTTGCAGAGACACAATTTGAGGGGTTTTTTGTCAGATGGCAGAGAAAGGGCACAAATTATTTTTTCCCATCTCTCTGAAGACAACTTCTCCCTCAGCCTCGCAGCTTCCGTCCAGATTCCAGAGAGTTCAGTCCGGCACTGAAGAAAACCCAAACCTTCCACAATGGCCAATATCTCTAAGGAATTCTCAAAACATTGTCCAATCTGCTCCTCTCTTGGTAAGTCCAATAAGCTATCATTCAGTGTTGCACCCATCCAACCAAGAGGTTCCGGTTTGCAATGTCCAGTTCCACTGAGAGATGGTCTTTGTAAATAACCATCCAGAAAAGACATGTTGTCAAAAAACTTTGCAATGCACACCAAATGCTGAAAAAACAGCATGAGTGACTTGTCTTGTCCATCTGTTTCTGAAGACAAATGATTAGTTTGCTTTGAGGGAACTGAGAAAAGTGTACGGTCTGAATGTGGGTTAGAAATATTTTTTGCCTCACACGATGACAAACGTTTTTTTCCTCTGCATGTAGAGAGACTGTCTGACTTAACCCTGTGTACATTTGCAGAGGTATGTAACATCAAGCCTTTGACTGGCTTTTCTCCTTTAGTCTTGGGCTTTATTGACTCTTGCTGATGCGAGGATTGAGATGTGAAATCTGGAGAAAATAGTCTTTCGATGTTGGAGTAGAGTAGACCTCCTCCCGTTTTCTCTGCCAGGATCTCCAGACATCTGCTGTTTTCCAGCTCAATCCATGATCTACACTGTGTAATTTAAGACAGAATACAAACATTAGGTCTATTACTATGAGGCCTAAAAGCTCTGTGATACTATCAGCATAAAGTGTGGTCCACTTTAATGCTTATTAATGTCAAGAACCAGGGGCAATTCTAGGATTTCAATATTTGGGGGGCTCAGCCCCCAATGAGGTCATGATTTTTTTTTTAAACACTTACGCCCGTTTCACACATACTCCATTTGCAGTGCGTATGCGGTGCGTGTTGCGGTGCGTATACGGTACAGGAGCAGCACGCGCTATGGTGCTTTCACATATGCTGCGTTTGCAGTGCGTAACTGATCCGCGGCTGTACCACAAACACATACTCACTATTTTTATTTCAAATCCAGAAGTTATGCAGCAACTTTTATTAAAAAAAAAGTTGTGTTAGCATTGCGATTCTCTATGTACACATATACAAACTTGAATGGACGTATGCACGTTTAAACACAATTTAAACAACGTAAGCCTATAATTCCATGCATAATGCATTACTTCTATGTATATTAAGTTGCTCAAGCAAGTGGTCAAATATTTAACCATGTACTTATATTAAAATCGCAAACATTTTAAATTAAAACTTAAAATTGACAAAAACAGCCAACTCTCATGCGTTTTCTTTTGCATTTAAATTAAAGGTGCTCTAAGCGATGTCACGCGTTTTTTAGGGCAAAACATTTTTTGTCACATACAGCAAACATCTCCTCACTAACCGCTGGCTGCCTGTCCCCTGAACACACTGTAAAGAAACGCGATCTCTGTAGACAGCCCAGGCTCCACAAACAGCAACAAAAGCAAACTGCAGCGACCCGCTCCCTGAAACATAATAAACTATTCCAGCCAATGACCGACAAGAAGGGTTTGGGGGTGTGGTTTGGGGGGTTAGTGTGCGGATGAGGAGGAGGGAGGGTCTAGCTAGCCTCCGTTTTGTTTGACAATAGTTCGAACGTCAACAAGAAGTGACGTCACCCAGGATCGCTTAGAGAACCTTTAATACAATAAATCTTGCATTGTCACAAATAACTTGTTTTTCCACCTCCACGAATGAGACGAGTGTCGTTCATTATGTCGTTGAGGTAAATTGTAGTTTTCCTTGCTTAAAACCCCGGTCTTAAAGTAAAAAGATGAAAAGTAGTATTTAATTAAATACATTTATGGTGAGATTACTATATTTTATTGAATTAAATGCATGGTGAAACTACTACATTTTCAGGTCAATCCGTGTTCATTTTGACCACGAACCGTGCGCTGTCACTTTAATTCAGCGTTTGCAGCACAGCAGAAATAGACTCGGTGCGGAAAACCCCCTGAAAATTTAATTAATTTCAAATAATTTTAACTAACCATATCATATTCATTAAAATTAATTTTTAATATAGACAAACCTTATATTACTGTAATTGTCTAGATTAGCAATATGCTTATTAGCTAGATTAGCAATTTGCCATGTTAAACCATTCCTTTTTTTGATTTCCATTTTAAAAAAACATTAACAGCACATTGATCTATCAATTTGCCGCTTCTATAATTCAAAGTGATGTGAAAAACCACAAATCCCTTTACTCTATAAGGCTAATAAATGTATGCCACAATCAACTGAAGGGTCATTAACTCCACATGATGTTGTTATGTCGTTCACTCTGATAAACAGTTTAAATAAATCTAGTGACTGAGTGCTGTCTGTCACTGATTGTGTCTTTAATCATTTCTGTGCATTACTGCATGTTAATCTAATGCCACAGCCACAATAATGTTTTAATTTAAAAATTAAATTTTCAAATGAAAATAACATTTTCTAAATTATGTCTTCATAGGTGTGAAGCGCTCTATTTTTGTAAAAACACTCTGAATAACATAGACTAAAAGATGGGGAGGACTTGAAGCCTGCCGTCATTTCCAGATAAAAATTTAAAGAGGACTGGAGGAGGCAATCACAAATTTGTGTGCAGCTTACAGAGCCAATCACAATTTTTTTAGGGGAGCTGGGTAGAAGCCCACCTAAAAATGGCCCAGTGATGCCCCTGTCAAGAACCACAAAGGAATAGTTCAGAATGTTCAAAAATGAAAATTCTCTCATCATTGACTTTCCTTCATACTATCTCAGATATAAGACTTTCTTTCCTCAGATGAACACAAAACATTGATTTTTAGAAAAGGATATTACTCATTACAGCGAGATGGTCTTTCTGCTGGGCCTTAGGCCTGTCGCACCTCCAACGGTGCCTTTGGTGGACTATGCATGGCAGAGGCGTCCTTTTCTCTGAGGCAGGCCTAAACCTGACCGCATACCACACGGTTTTGCTGCTGCAGGGTCTTCAGCTGGGGACCACCGCTCATTGACGTTTCGCCCCTTAACCCAGAACGTCTCATGGTGGCGGGGCAGTGAACAGGGACGTCTCCCTGACACCCCCTGCAGCGGGAAAAGGATAAAATATAGCAAGGAAAAATACTAATATTTTAAACTTTTTTATGCTTGACAAATGTAAATGTGTTGAGAAGCTCAAAAAAAATCTTTGTTTGTGAAAGAAAGTGACACATCTGGGATAGCATGAGGGTGAGTAAATTATATATGATGATAGATATAATGAGTGAGGTTTACTCGCACAGCTCTTACTAGCTGGCCTCCGTTACACTCAGCCCCCTAAACCTTACTCCCATTCAGGTCATGGCACCAATGTAATCCCTCAGGTCCTACTTACCCCGCTCTGTGCGGGCCTCGAAACCCACTGGCCTCCGTTACATATACATATATACATATACATATACACACACATATACATGTGGCAGAACAAAAAAAGGCCCCAAAAGAAAGACAATCTCTACACATAGGGTTGTGAAGCCACAAAAATGCACAGGAAAGTGTAAGGAAAATGTCCTATACACCTCCTTATTCATCCAGGGAACTTTGTATGCACAGTGGAAGCTGCATCTGGAACAGCAACCGACATAAATTCACCCACTGACAGAAATTAACAACTGGGTGGTACTTTAACTTATCCACATCAAGTTTGGAATTTATGGGTTCAGAACACTTCCCCCTAAGGAATTTGAAAGAGGTTTGGAAACATATTAATGCATATCCAAAGTTCTAAAGTCAGTTTGTTTAAATGTGTACTTAGGACAATGCCAATGAGTTCCACAGAATGGAAGGCTCTTTCCAATGCCTTCACGACTCCTGTAGATTCATATTCCAGTCTGCAAAGGACCCTGCATATTCATCACCACCTGACAGTGCTCCAGACAAGACAAGGACCAGCAGCAACCCACCAGCATCTATTGAATACAACAGTCGGAAAGCAATCCCACTGCAAGCGGAGGAATACCCAGTTCAATACGTCTCTCATCGCTGGACTGATCATCCGGCCACATGAAAGGTAAATATAAACTCTTCCAAACCTCTTTACAAAGGCCTTTTGGTTAGGTTGTTGTTAATAGATGAGATTGCTGTTTGTGTAGAGACTGCTTATCTAGGGCCAGCTTATAACAGATAGACATGTTATACACATTATCCAAAGCCTGATGACTTCAACCAGAGTGTCAAAGGCTTTAAGCCCTTAAGTGATAGAGAATACAAAAGCAGTAAACATGTACTGAGAAGAGAAAGGCCCAGAAAATTTGGAGATGGCTCTAAAGATAATTCAGATAATTTCTGAAGTCAGCGAAGACAGACATCTAGAGAAACAGCAGAAAGGGGTCGTGGGTAGGGATCCAAAAAAAATCAATATTGAATCGCTATTAATTTTTATCGATAATGAAAATAATTGACAACAAATTTGATTATCGATTAACGTTAGTCGTGTCCGCGCGCTGTCCTCAGAAACCATCAGCCAGTCACGTCGGTTTACAGTAGTGAATAACTCATTTCAGGACAAAACTCATTTGGAAAATAGTAGGGGCAGGGTTCCAGACTGCGACCAAATTGGTCGCAAATGCGACCATTTTTTGAGAATGTGCGAGTTAAAATGTTATGTGGTCGCATTTGGGCGAGTGGACGCTTGAGCAACAGAACGCCGTTGTATCAGCTGCTGCAGTCCGTAACTTATGTTCAAAATGAACGAGTAGGCTACATCATGAATCCATTTTCCAAACCGTGTTTTTGACTTATTCTAAATCACTACGGTACGCCTATAATAAGTGTTTATATTCGGACTATTTTATCCCGGGGTCGTCTCGGCTGCGGAGTAGCCCAGTGCCTGCGTGACTCGCCATAGACATTAACGGAGAGAAGTTCCGTCTACAATGTTCTTCCGCAAGACACGTGCAGTTTATTTATTGACGAACGTAGACGTCACGCGCATTGCACACTGATGGTAAAACGCGCCAATTACGAATTCACAAATTAAGGCAAATAAAAATGATAAAAATGGTCTCACGAATCACAGAGCCCCTTGATCCTACGTCTTTTCAGCGGTTATATTTTCCTCTGTCGAGCGATTACTCTCATGATCGCTCGACAGAGGAAAAGGAAATTATTATAAAATGCAGAAGGTGAGGAGTGTGAGATTTCTGCTTTTTGTTACAACTATAAACTTTGATAACGAAAAATCTGTATCAGTTTATTATAATACTCTAATCTTTTAAAATGTAATGCATACATTTGAATGTTTAATGATTTTTAAAAGATAGAAAGATGATAATAGACAGATAGACAGATAGATAGAATATGATTTAAATGTAAATAGATAGATTGTATATAATTCAAATGTAAAATGCTTAAAATTACAGATTAAAATTACTGTCCAAAATCCATGAAAATCCTGAAATTTGGCAATGATAATTAATATATTACAGGTATTTCTGCTGCAACCCAGAAAGCCTTTGCTAGCCTTGGTCCATTAAAACCACTATTCATCAGCATGCATTGATTAATCCCATGGCATGTAGCAAAAAAAAAAAAAAAAAAAAAAAAGGTGCGACCAAATCATATGCTGGTGCGACCAACTGAGAAAGTTGGTAGCACCAGTGCAACCAGTGGAAAAGTTAGTC